ATTACAATGAGTCAGAAAAGAGTTGACTTAATAAGGTTTTACAGGGCTATTCAACTTCATTTTACGTAGATTTTTAGTTATAACTCAAGAACTGTTGAGTTTAAAAAGATCAAACCTCGTACAGATACATATCGGGACTTCTTATATAAAGTTTCAAGGTCATTGAGGTCATTTCACGATAAACCTATCTAGAGGTCATTTGAAGGTTTTTTTGAAACGAAGAATAAAAAGTTATTCCATGGTCCAAGTTGTAACAATACTTGAGTAATCAATAATTTGATTACTCAACTAAAACAATTAACAATTGTTTAATAATCATTTTTTTTTGTTGATCAATTAAAATTAACAATAGCTAGTTTTTAGATACGATCTTAATAGATCGTATCTTTCACGTTATTTTCTTTCGTATATTTCACAAGTTTAAATTAATAATTCAAAGTCATTGGCGTTATTATGTCAATTTGCAGAACCGCTGCTTATTTCATTCAAATTAATGGCTCTCCGTTATTTGAACTGATATTGACACCAAAACTTCAAAGATGAATTATCAAAGATGAATAAATTAACCAGGAAAATTTCTACCTTAGATGAAGCTACTGAGTGAAGAATGAATCATTCAGGTCAAAAGTGCAAAAATGTTAAATGAAATTTATCATGGTTGTAGAAGTTAAGATATTAATTGAATGGACTAAACTGAATTATCTTATATTTTGTTGCAAACGTAGTACTTCAAGTTTGATTCGTTGTGTTTATATAAATGGTTAAGATGAAAAATGATTATAATTGAAATAATTATCTTTTCAGTGGTCAAAAGTTTTCTCCAGTAATTGACTTCTGTTCAGGTTGTAAGGTTCAAATGTTTTATATGAAATACACGTAGGGTTGAATAGGTTGGGTTGTAATTACGTGTAACTTTTGATATAGTATGTCTCATCAATTTAAATAGTACAGTAATTTTTAAAACCATTAAAATTAACTCGTTTTCTTAAAGAAAACAATCGCCATAAATTCAGTAAGGGTTTTTTAAAGTTGAAATAATCTATATAATCATCTTCTCCATCTTCATCAAAATTATCCAATAGAATTAACCAGGTACCACGTGAGAGGTGGTACCTGGTTGAACAAAGAAAAACTGGTATTGTAACCGGTTTTTTACACTGCTAACAAGTTATTCGAGAAAAACTTTTTAGTTGTTGTAAACAACAACAACCTCTTCAAGAACAAGGTTCCACGTTTTTCAACCTCGTTGACCTTGAAAATAATATGGACTTAATTTTGAGTGTATCTGACTCCCGGTTCAATAGTTATACATGTATATGAAAACAGTGAAAATACGAGCACACCCAATTACTGAGATTTTATTGATTAATGATAAGGAGAAGGGCTCTCACCACAACAGACAGCCATTGTGTAGGTTAGAAATTTCTGAAAGTCTACAATCAATTGTGCACGGAAAGACTTTTTTCGAAAGGATGGTGATGAAATTCTGAAAACAACCTTTACAACCGACGAGCTTTTTGATTTTCTATGTGCAAACGATCATGTTTAACCAGATGGAACCTTATGAAGTGTCCCTAAAATTTTTCAATCACTGGATCCTATTCATATCCTAACGAATGGTTTCAATCGTTTATGCTCTCATGCCCAATACTATTAGGTATCCAAGTAAATAATGATACGATTTTTAATTGGTATGTTAATTGTGATCACAATCAAATCAAATCAATCGAAATAATTTTCATCAGATTCTATGACCTTTTCCGAACGCTCCACGAAAGAAAAAGGTGGTAGTCCGAGGGGGTGAGGTCAGGTGAATAAGGTGGGTGAGGTAATACTTCCCAATTGAGCTCCTTTAGTTGATCTTTGACCTGTTTCGATGTTAGAGGTCGCGCGTTATCATGGAGGTAGATGACCTTTGATCTATTGACCAGTGCAGGCCACTTTTCTACTAACTTTTCGTTATCTCTGACCAATTGTTGAGTGTATAACTAAGAGTTAACATTTTGACCTTGGTTCAATAGCTCGAAGTGGACCACGCCCTTTGGACACCACCATATACACAACATTATCTTCGGTTGATGTGCGTGTGGTTTAGGGGTTGACATCGATGGTTGACCAGGGTCTAACCAAGCGTATGACATTGTATGATTATCATACATTATCCACTTTTCATCGCTGTTCATCAAACGGTCAAGGAAAGGGTCATTATTTTGGCGCGAAAGAAGAGAGCATTGCAAGACATTGACCTTGCTTTGAGGCCAATGTGAACTCAGTAAGCATACACGCACGAATTATAAACTTATTGTCCGACATTTGGAATTAGACTGATAATTAGTTACATAATTTTTCTTATTATTCGTGTTGGCTAATTGCTTATTAGTCATTTCCCGTTTACTAGGAAAAAGAGTCATTAACATCGGGTTGCTAATTGTCTTGAGTTAATTGTAATTAGATCACAATTAAAAATCGTATCATTATTTACTTGGATACCTAATACAATCTCATCATACCCTCGTTTATTCAGATTAGTTTAAGATCTTTGCCTGGATTTGGATCTGGAGCCCGAAAAAGTTTACAATCGAGATTGACTTATCGATGGTTTACAAGTGCGATAAATAGGTGATACATTAGTAGAGTCAGGATCCATTATCTCAAAAAGGCGCAATCCAAGTCAAAAAATTTTCGTTTTTTGGATGAAAAACATTTTTTCTATATAGAACCGTACTAAAAAGTTGATCCTCAGGGTATGCCGAGTCCACTACACCGCTTTACAACGCTAATCTTAGTCTTTGCCGATCGGCACATTTTCTATTTCATTTTCTCTCACCAGCCCTATTAATCCGTTGTTTAAACAGATTTTCCGTTTTAAAGTTAATCCAGGATTGGATGATGATTATTTGTCCCACCATTGATTGTTTACTTTATTGTCATTTTCTGAATGTTGGAGGACCAGGTCACTTGTGGTTGCCGAAGGCAAAATATTTCGAACTTTGCTAGCTCGAAATGGCTCTAAAGAGTTTGATTTTTTGGTGAGTGATGAAAATGATGAACCGTTTATTGGGGTGTCACCAAGGCGACGTGGTGGATGACCTCGACCTCTTTTCAGTAGTATTGTTGATATATTGGAATGGGAATCAGAGTTGAAGATTCTTATTATCATAATAAGTATTAAGTACATGTATTTCATGGGAATGATGTTGGTGTTGTTGATGATGATTTAGATCGTGTAGATATAGTTGATGGTCCGTTGGTCAGATTATTCTGGTGAGTACCAGAAGTTGACGCGGAAGATAAGAATGACGATGACACAAGTGAGATTGATCATCAAATCGACGTCCACTATTTACCATCATAGATTACCTCATCTTCCGGTTCACCTCCACTTTCAATTCTCTGTTCATCTCTTATCATCACCCTTTCCTCAATTTTTTCAATTTCCTCTTCTTCATCTTCATCCTAATTTGTGGTTATCACTTTATTTTCCTCAGTCATATCTCTCTTTTGATGATAAGGCTGATATCATTTGACCTTTGACCTGATCAATTTCAAACTCTTCGGATGATAAAAAGCTAGTGTTGTCCACCTCTTGACCTTGACTATTATTATCATCCCCTTCAATCATAATAAACTTTTCACATTCTTCTACCTCCTTTCATCAACATCAGCATCTTCCTCTTCAAAAATCAATTTTTCTTGTTTATCATCTTCCTTTGTCATCATCTTTTTACTTTCCATCTCTTTCTCATCTTCTCTATTATCCATACGATCATTATTATACTCATCATTATAATTATCATCCTTCATTTGATCAACCCTATTTTAATCAAATTCATTTTCAATTTCACCATTTTCCTGATTACTTATCATCATTTAATCATTTCAGTTTCTGGATTTTCCATTCCCAGTGTCTGAATAAGATCCGGATCTCATCTGAGAAGCTCACGAAGTTGGACAAACGGTTCACCGGTCGAAGATGAATTTAAAGAGTAGAGTCTCATTTGGTGATGAAATAATTTCCAAGTTCAATGGAGATGATGAAGATGTCGGTGTAATTAATGATGAACTTGCTTTAAACCCTTTTAACCCACAATCAGTTGATGGTCAATCTTAATCAACTGTTGATTATTAGACAAACGAAATGGAAACGATAAACTTGGAACACGTTTAAATGAATTAATCACATTAACGTTACCATGATGATGACCATTGGTCAAACTTTTAGAATTATTATCATTATTAATTGAAAGACGGCCACAATTGACCTTGATTGTTGATGTTGTTACATCTAATTTAATCCGGGAAGAAACACAATTTGCATTTTAAGAAGATGAATTAACTTTGTTTACACTTTTATTAATGGTTTAATTGGATCATCAGTAGAATCCTCACTCTTAACAGAGGTAATAAGTTCACAAGCAATTTCCATTTCCATGAGAGCGTCGAGCATTTCTCTCTTTCTTTCAACCTCTTTGCTGGTTCGAATGAGAGGAGGTTTGTCATTTTCGAAAGTGTGTGGAATAAGAGTGTAAAATCCTTCACATTGACTGACCAATTTAGCCGATGCTTTTTTGGAATCATCGTCAACCAATCGATAAAATTACAAGAACATGTATTTAGACAGAAAAAGATCAATCAAAGCTCAAGTCTAAGTCAGTATTTTAGAGCAACTAATCACCAATCTAATTATTAATAGATTACTTTTTGATTATCCTTAACAATCAGATAACTTTTATCAACATTGGATGTGTAATTCAGGGTTTCAGTTAATGGAAAATCCTTTTAATTAGCCTTCAATCATTCATTAATTTATTATTGATCAAAAAATTACATCTTAATAGGTTACAGATCAATAATATTGAAAAAATCTTTAAAAACATTAATGATGAATTTTTCTAGATAAAAGTGACAACAGTTAACGATTAATTAATGAGAAATGAAAGTCGAGTCTTGATAAATCACAAGTAATCAGAAAAGTGAAAATCGAGGCATAAATAATAAAAATGTCTGTAATAGGAATACAAGATAAGATACTAATTGGAACAATCAACTTAATTAACTTCATTTCTTTAAACAAGTTTTACAAAAAACATGAGCGGGAAGATTTGATTGTTGCTCTTGGAGCACTCAAATCGTTGGAAGAATCAAAGTTCATTGTGAAAAAATCGACCGTGAATAAGAATCATCGATTCTTGTGTTACATTCTAGTTGTTCTTAATACAATTTCAATCTCTCGTTGGTTAATTCTTGGTGTAACAAACAGTCAATATTTACAATTAGTTCTTGGTGATTATTTCTCTAGATTTAGTGAACGAGAGCTGCTTAACTGTATTTGCTTCATTCCAACTAAAATAGTGATTTTCATTAACATTTACAATATTATTCTCAACAATTTCACCGATGGACCATTTACCGAAATACTCGCCGAATACGTCCAAGGGATTAAAAGTTCGAAAAAAGTTTTCCCTCTGGAAGTAAAGTTTGAAAATCTTTTCAGAACTTGGTTTATATTTGGAATAACGAAAATTGGACTTTTCTCTTACGGTTTCACTGGTTTTCTCGCTATAACTCACTTTGCAATCGCTTATTCAGCCTCTTTTGATTCAGAGATTCTTTTGATTCAATTTATGTACATTTTCGTCATTTTCTATCTATTACAGTTCAGCATTATAAGTTCTACGTGGGTCTTTACTCACTTTCTACTTACCGTTCTATTCGCTTATTGTCAATCATCTTCATTCTCTATTCGTTCTCATATTAGATCAAATTCTTTCAAAAATCAGTATCATTTTCTTCACGAGTTACAAAAGTTCAACAATTGGCTCGATTCATTTAATAAACAAATTCGCTTACCGACTTTTATCTTTTTTTCTTACACAAGTTTAGTTGTTATCGTTATTATCTATTATGGTTCTCAGCATCAATTCTCAAATGTTTGGATAAGCCTTTTGCTCAAAGGAACTAGTGTTCTAACTTTTGCTGTCATTTCATATTTCAATTATTTTCTTTCCTTCGTATCACAAAGTGTTGGTACTATTCCATTATCTGTATATTTTTGATATTCCCTCAGAATACTTGATCAATACTAAAATAATATCTTGATTTTTTACTTCTAGGGACGAGAATTGCATTTGACGATTTATAACATTTCGACTACTTACTGTCAAGAAACTCGATTGATGCTAAAGGTAAACAATAGCTCATTGTAACTTCCAATAACCACTATTAACGGAATTAAATTTTATTCTCAACAGAGACTTGAAATTCTGGACCGATTATCGTATCGAAACATTGGTTTGTACATAAACAATAGTATCTTAATTTGTAATCATTTTGCTCTGGTAGTAAGTAAAACATGATAATTGAGACAAAGTTTCATCGAAAATGTTTAATTATTCAGAATTTTCTTCTTTATTAAACTAGTTTCTTATGGAGTGTATTGGATTATATTTACTAATGTGTGCGAACTTGCAAAGTCAGAATATTTAAAATTAATCACATGTTTTGTTTAGCTGAACAGTTCATTGTGATTCAATTGACCTTATTGAGGATCAATAGTATTTTTGGTTTGTTCTTGCCGAGATAACCATTTATAAATTCAACGAAACTTGTTCATCAATTTTTAATAAAATCGTGTCACTCGATAATCGAAGCTCGAATTGTGTTTTCACCTGAATTTAGACGAGTGAATCGATACTGAAAATACACAGTAGCTGTTTCATTGATAGAAACCTTTCGAGGTTCGAATCATTAATCAATTATTTTGCTTCAGTAAATCGAAAATTATATAATTAATGAGCCTAATAATTGTCATAATTTAGTGAAATCTCTTAATGAGAAGACTAAATCATTAGAAATCATGAATATTATTTCAGTTTGATGGATGAAAAGTTTACCCTCAAAATGAACTTGATTTATTCATTAATAAGCTTACTGATGATTGTGACAAATTTATGCAAACAATTAAGAGTTAAACTAAAGATCAAAATGATCAACAAGATTAATGAATTTGTACAAAGATTAAGTACAAAATGTGAACCTCAAGACTTAATTGTTGCGTTCGAAAAACTCAAATCGATTGAAAGAGCAAAGTTTATTGTCAACAAATCGACAACCTCAAAGTTTCAACGATTCATGTGCTACTTTATATTCATCTTCAATAATATAGCAGTTTCTAGATATTTAATTCTTGGCCTAACGAATGATAAAACTTTACAATTCATTCTTGGCGATCATTTCGCCACATTCAATGAACGAACTTTTTTCAATATCATGATTTATCTTGCTAATTACCAAGGGATGACAATGAATTATTTCAATATTCACTTAAACAACTTCGTCGATAAACCTTTCACAAGAATACTCGAGGACTATGTCGAAAGTATAACAACTTACAAAGGAGAACTGTACCTTTCGAACTATCATAATCGTCTAGTTAGAAAATGGTACACTTATGGAATCAGAATTATGATATTCTTTACTTACCTTATCGTGATTTATGCTTTCATCACTAATTTTCTAATCGTAGTAACGGAACGAAAAGATTTACGAACTTTATATGTTCAATTATCGTTACTTTGTGTGTTTCAATATTTTAAACATTTTTCTTCGTTCAGTACTAATTGGTTCTTATTACATTGGTTTATAACTATTCTATTTACTTACTGTCGACTATCTTCGTTCACAACTGTATTCAATAATCAATTGGAATCATCACAAGGCCAGAAAACTTTTATTTTCGAGCTACAAAAGTTTAACAATTGGTTAGATTCGTTCAATCGTCAAATAAGTTTAACAACTTTGTTCATTTTTTCATATTTGTCTTTTTTCACTGTCGTTATCGTTTATTATGGTTCTCAACACAATTTCGTTCACACTGGGATAAATGTTCTGTTTCGCGTCGCAAGTGTCGCATCTCCCTTAATAATATCCCTTTTTTGTTATTTCGTTTCGTTTATACCTCGAAAGGTTTGAAATAAATTCGATTCTTTATTAATATTGATATTAGTTAGTAATCTTTTTGTGTTTTCATTTGCAGGGGAAAAGGTTACATTTGATGATTTACAAACTATCGACTTTTAATTGTAAAGATGCTCAGTTGATGCTTAAGGTAAATAAGTTTTAATCGAATCTTAATTCCTAATCTTCAATAATCTCATTTCAGAGGCTTGAAATTTTGGATCGATTTTCATACCGAAAGATTGGTCTGTATTTGAATGAAAATAAACTAATATGTAACCATTTCTCAATCATTGTAAGTATTGATACAATTAATTTTAATCCGAAATTGTGAACTTTTACATTGTGGATTCTAAATTTTCCAATCTTTTTCTTAGTTCTTATTGGAGTGCATTGGATTATATTTACTCATGTATACTAATATAAATAAAAGAGCTTTAGTATCGTATTGATGCAGATAATAAGAAATAAGTCTAAGAATTTCCAACATCTCTCAATTCTACGAAGTTTGCTTACCATACCCTTTGTCCTTCAAATGGCCTTCAAGTGCGTTCTTTGATGAATAACCTTTGAGGTCTTGAAACATGACAATATGAACGCTATCGGCCAGTTAATTTCTGAGTAATTGTGGAAAGAAAACTTTTGTAAACTTATTCCAAACATTCACCGGATATGATTCGTTAATTATGGAGAGCACGATAATTATTGTAATATTAACATTATTAAAATCATTGATAATTGAAACTTAGTAATCAAAATTCAATCGAATTTGCAGGGAAAAAAAGTAATTAAGTTAATTATTTTAGTAATTGAAGAGCACACCGATTGAAAATCAATACTGTTTCTTATTGAGAGTCGATTAAAGTAACTGGGTAAATTATAAGTTAATTGTTTGTGAATAAGTTAATGAATTTACTGGGCCTGATTCACAATATTCATCAAATTGATTCAGATGTGACATAATCGTTTATTAGTAATCAACAGCATTCAATATGTCATCAAGAATAAAGATTATCTATAATAAGATTAACAGATTTACAAAAAGATTAAGAATCAAAAAGTGTCAACCTCAAGATTTAATTGTTGCGTTTGAAAAACTTAAATCGATCGAGAAATCAAATTTCATCATCAGCAAATCGACAACCTCCAAATTTCAACGATTCATGTGCTACTTTATACTTTTTATCAATAACATGATAAGTTCTCGCTTGTTAATTCTTGGTCTCACCGACAATAAAACTCTACAATTCATTTTTGGCGATATTTGCATAACATTCAAAGAGCGACCATTTTTCAATTTAATGTCATATCTGGCTGGTAATCTAGGGATGAGCATGAATATTCTGAATATTTGGTTGAACAATTTCGTTGCTAGGCCTTTCATTAAAGTCCTGGACGATTTCGTCGAAGGTAAAAAAACTTCAGAAAGAAAATTCAATCTGTCCCATGATTATGATTACCTACTGATGAAGTGGTACACTTATGGCATTAAGATCTACATTTATTATACTTATATTTCAGTATTTCACAGTTTCTGTGCCAACTACCTAATCATTGCGACAGAGAAAAGCGATTTTTGGACTTGGAATATTCAATTCGCGTACGTTTTCGTGTTTCACTGTTTTAAACTTCTCTCTGAATTCAGTGCTAATTGGTTCATAATGCATTGGTTCATTACTGTTTTATTCACTTACTGTCGAGTATCTTCATTCACCACTGAGTTTAATAGTCGATTGAGATCATCGAAAGGACAGAAAACTTTTATTTTAGAACTACAAAAGTTCAGTAATTGGATGGATTCATTTAATCATCAAATGAGTTTACCCACTTTCTTCATATTTTCTTATTGGTCTTTTCTCACTGTTGTTATTGTTTATTTTGGTTCACAGCACAGCTTCTCGAATAGCGGAGTAAATGATCAGTTTCGAGTTGGAAGTATCTTATTTCCATCGTTAATCTCAATTTTTTGTTATTCTGTTTCGTTTATACCTCGAAAAGTTCGTATCACTCCTGAAGTAAATCAGTCAATAATTATGAACTTTATGTTTGCAGGGGAAAAGAGTCCATCTAATGGTCTACAATTTATCCAAATACATGTACTTCAATAATTACGATGTTCAATTGATGTTAAAGGTTAGCCAATTGGCGATACGAATCCTTGATTTCTAATCAACGGTTTTTCTTACTTTAGAGACTCGAAATGTTGGATAGATTATCATATCGAAACTTTGGTTTATATTTCAATGAAAATGTCTTAATATGTAACCATTTCTCCTTAATTGTGAGTATAGTTTAATTTAATCAATCGAAACGTTCAAAGTTAAAATATCTTTTTCTCCATGATTATTCCAGTTCTTTATGGAGTGTATTGGATTATACCTACTCATGTACGCGAATTTAAATAGATGAATCAACTCAATTTTCTCAGTAAAACCGATAATAAATGAAAGTTATTGTGAATAATGAGGAAAACTGAAATAATTTTAATAAAAGACGAAAATGAATGCAAAACAAAATATCAAAAGTAAAGAGAAAAAAGAAAAGAAAAAAATTCTAAGCAAATCGTTAATAAGAATCAAATTAAATTTGAACGTGAACACAAGTTAAGGCATTTGTTTGTTTTTCTTGAAGTGATTTAAGTTATTTAAATGCAGAGAAAACTCTTTGGATTAAGTCAGAATATGACAATGAAGAGATTTGAGTTTTATATGAAATATGTGATGCATCAATTTAAGAAAACCCGTTTTTCTTTCGGTCAGTTACGGTGGTGATCTTGAGTTTAGAATAGTTTGTTATCAAATTCGACCATCAATAGATATCGAATTTTTATTTGGTTCACATCATAGACAATGAATTCATTGTAAAGTAAAGAAGTGTCTTTAACGCCGGTTGGTTTTCCAGGTCCACAAGGAACGATAACACCTTCATCGATAGTTTTAGACTTCTTTGGGTCTGGAGCCGTTTTACCGACACCCTTAACACTGTGTTTTCCTTTTGGAAGATCAGTGATGAAATCAGCTTGAGTAAGTTCCAGCCTAAAGAAAAGAAAGAAAAGAAAAAGTAAATAAATAATTCAAGACTCTAATTGTAATTGTATTGACAATCAAGTAGAAATTATTTCTATTCAATCAGAACTTACATTTCACCAAGTGCCACTTCACATAAGGCAAGTATACCAGTGTTGTTGTTACTTTGTGGATGACAATAGTTGGCACTTTTAGTGGCCATATCGGCAAAGTAAACACCCTTTCCAAACATGTAACCAGTAACTGGTGCTTCTGGTGGAGCGATTCTGAGACCTTGAGATAAGATGCTGGCGAAATTAGTAATTCGAGATCCATGCCAGAGAAGCATCTTGTTGTTGAGACCAGTGTACTTTTTGTATCTCTCCTCTTCACCATGTCGACGAACCTTAAATGCTTCCTTAATCTTCAATTTAACTGCGTGAGTTTTAGCATGAGTATTGACCAAATATTCATCAATCAGTTTGTATTCTGGTTCTTTGGTATCAAGAACAGATAAATCAGTTCCCAATTTGAGGTAATGCTGTTTAATTGGATCATCAGTAGAATCCTCACTCTTAACAGAGGTAATAAGTTCACAAGCAATTTCCATTTCCATGAGAGCGTCGAGCATTTCTCTCTTTCTTTCAACCTCTTTGCTGGTTCTAATGAGAGGAGGTTTGTCATTTTCGAAAGTGTGTGGAATAAGAGTGTAAAATCCTTCACATTGACTGACCAATTTAGCCGATGCTTTTTTGGAATCATCGTCAACCAATCGGCTGATTTCCGATAGAACATTATAAGCTGAGAGAATCTGTTTCTTGGATAATTTTCCGAGAGGCATTTTCGTCATATCCAATTCAAATTCTTTCATCTCTTTCTCCATCAATTGAACATCAAAAAGCATCATGACCAATCTTTGAAGAGCCGGAGGTAATTCTGATTTACCAATCTCCATTTTCACACCTCTATCTCCATCGACAGCATAACTAACCTCCAGAGGATAATAAAATGAAGCCTTTCGAGTCATGTTACGACGATTGCAATATTGTTGTCCTGTTTTATCAAAGAAAATCTCCTCGAACTTGAATCGAGCATCTTCCAATTTACTGAATGAATAAGTTTTGGTTCCACCGATATCAGTACCAACTCGACCCCAGGAAGTAAAGACCCAGAAGCGATTCTTTCTATTCTCATCTTTGAGCAGTTGAAGTTTGTAATATGAATTTTTGTTAGCTTGTAAATCAACCTTATTGAGAACCTCAGAGTAGATTTTATCACCTTCCTTGTAGACAATTGCGATTTCTTCGAGCTCCGATTGTGGGTCGACTACTGTACCATCCTTAATCACCATTTTCTGTCGCTCAGGGAAAGCAGCTGATTTAGATTTTGATCCGCTTCCTAAAGTTAAAAACAATCAAATGTAACCCAAATAATCAAGTCAATTAATAAAGAGAAAATCTTATTAATATTTTGGCGAAATAAATAAATTCTTATTCAAATTAATGGGCATCTGATTTTCATCTAATATTCTGGCTGCAGAATATCAAGAGATAAACAAATTGTTATTCTTAGCATGTTAGTGACCATGTATGGATTAACTCATGATACTTGGCGGTATATCATGCAAGGAATATAAAAGTACAATTGGAACAGGAGGAAAAGGAAAACAACAATTACCTGATTTAAATGATTTAACTTTACTCTTGTTGACCAGATTAACGAATCTTTTAGCAACATCTTGAGCTCCCCATTCACTTAATCCATGCTTGACAATAACCGATGGAATATCTTCAATATTTGCTTTCTTCATTTCCTCGATCACTTTCTCGTTAACCAGGATCACGTTATTCTGTTCAGATTGTTCAACCTTATCCGATCCTTTATCGATTTCTTTGTCATTGGTGATACCGAATAAAACTGTTCGATCGAAATTGGTAACAACTGAACCACCCAAATCTGTAATTGCTTTCTTGTAGTCTTTCAATGGTTTACCGAGTTTGCCAAATATGACGATCTTATGATCTTTTAACGGCTTCGATGGATCAATTTTATGTTCACTTTCATTATCATTTCCATTTGATGATGATGCCACTTTAGCTATGTCCACTGCATCGACTGGCCCTTGAACTTTACCCATAACTCGGACTCGAGGTTTATACTTGTATTTAGCCAAAAATTCGTAGATTTCTTTGTATTCAGTAGGCACTTTGAATGGTTTACGAGCTGGTTTAACAGTTTCGTAGACACACTTGACACAATCAGAAACCATTCCACTGCAAATGTAACCAGCAATACGGAAATACAGCTGACCAGTTTTACACTCAGGACATTTACTTAAGGCACCAAACGCCATTGCGTCAGCAACAACTTCTGCTTTTCGTCCTCTATCTTTTGGTGGATCATAATTATTGTGCAAAAGTAGAACATCGAGCTCATTGGCTTTCAATGTTTTCAATTGATCGATGTATTTGTACAACAGATTTGATTGTTCTTGAAGTGATTTTTCTAGTTCTTTGTCCACTTTGTCAACTTTACTTTTCTTAGGCTCACTTTGGCCTTTAGTGCCATTAGTTTCAGCTGCCACTTTTCGTTTGGTTCCACTTAATTTGGGTAACTTTTTCTTGAGTATTTGTCGATCAGAGGCCTCAAGTCCATCAAAATTAGGTAACTTATCAGCAGAATCAAAGAAACCCAACTCTTGTCGAGCGGAGACAAAACAATCAACATGGAAAAATCTTGGTAAAGCTCGACCAAGTCTCACGGCAGCATCAGATTCTTCATCAGTTTTTGAGATTCGGACTTCATTGAGTGAAATTTTAGACTCACAAAGTACACAAGCTGCTTTACCAGATTTCGAATATTCAACACCAAAATCAGATAAACAGGCGGTGGCACCCGAAGCATTGCCAATCTTGGCTTCGATTTTCTTCTGATCTTCAAACCGTAGATTAGAAAAATGAGCCATGTCACCAGTTGACTTGGGACGATTTTTCTCAAAAAAACAATCAAAATGATACCAATGTGGTGAAACTCCATCAAAAGCAGGCATTTTAACCATTCTTGCCAATCGTAATTCATCCTTAATGATTTTCCCTTTACAACTGCGGCAAGAAGCTCGAGCACTTTTAGCATATTCACACCTGTAGGGTTGATCAACTCTTAAACTGGTACTTGGTTCGTCACCCATGTTGACACAAACACACACCAAACACTAACAGATGAAACAATCAAATCAATTAAATTAACAAAATAATTCACAAAAGAAAATGAAAGAAAAAGATGAACCAAAACAAATGAAGGAAAATTCAAAAAGTAACCGGTAAGTTTTAAGACATCATGGATTCTTAGTCAGCAGGGCCTAAGAAATTTAAATCGAAGCGCAATTTTTCAAAGAATCAAAATTCATCTGAAGGAAAACGAATAGAAAAAAAACAATTAAACAGCTAATCAAGAGAAATATTATTAATCAAAATCAATTGATAGAAATAAAATTTCTAATCACTTAATTGATAATCAAGAGTAAATTGTCAGAGAAAATTAAAAACAAACAAAACTGATCAAGTGAACCAATGGATCCATTGTATTGGAAATTGTTAGTTACTCAGTTCGTTTACAAAGAAAGAATAGAAAAAAGTTAACACTAGACAAATTTTCTCACCTGAGTATTAGTTCAAGTCAAGAGTTGAATTTAATTGAAAGAGAATTGTAATGTAATTAATGTAATCAATTAAGAAAATGCTGATTAATTAATTTTTCGCATTCAATTTGCTTCCATTCAATACCATAGGTGGAGCTTTGGTTAGTTTGTTATGATTGAACCGCCATTTGGATTGTTCATTTTTCTGTGATTTTCAATTCAATTGTTTTTAATTCTTCCTCTTTAATTAATTGTTACTTTAGTTTTACTTTGAGTTAAATGATTAAACAATTTAACGTAATCAATTCTGGTTAATTGGTGTAACAATTTAAAGAGATAATTGTGATTAACTTTGATTCTTTTCCTTTGCTTTTTTCTCCTGATTGGTTGTTCTTTAGTTGCTTGGATACATTTTCTATTTCATTTTCTTTTATTTGTGATTCTCTTTTTCTTTCATTTTTGGTTTTCTTCTTCATCTATTCGCTTTTGTTTTGAATTTTTCTTGATGTAATCTTACCATTTATCTTGTTCCGTGTTCTTCTTGGACTTTTGTTTTATCATTTGGACTGTTCAAAATGTCCAATTGGACCCCAAAAGAGGGTAAAGGTGGTCATCCGCCGTTTCAACCTCGACCACCCATTTATCAGGCAACTGAATTTGATGGTAAACGATTGAGAAAAGCTATTGCCAGAAAAACAGTTGATTATAATACCTCGATTGTAAATATGCTTGAAACAAAAATCTGGACTAAAAATCATTATGATAGGAGAGCCATTCAACCTGATTATGGTTATTATCCTCAATTATTACCTCCGATGTCTTTTGTTGATAATCCGGTTAATTGTGTTACAACTAAATTTGTTCGTACATCAACTAATAAAATGAGATGTCCAATATTTTGTGTTCTTTGGACACCTGAAGGTCGACGTTTAGTAACTGGTGCCTCAAGTGGTGAATTTACCCTTTGGAATGGGTTAACATTTAATTTTGAGACAATTTTACAAGCTCATGATTCCGCTGTTCGAGCAATGGTTTGGTCTTCAAATGATATGTGGATGGTAACTGCTGATCAATCTGGTAATGTCAAATATTGGCAGAGTAACATGAACAATGTTAAAATGTTTCACGCTCATGATGATCCAATTAGAGGTGTTTCAATGAGTCCATCGGGAAATAAATTTGCAACTTGTTCAGATGATGGAACCATAAAGATATGGGACTTTTTCAATTGTATTGAAGATCGAACCCTTCGAGGACATGGATCTGATGTGAAAGCTGTCGATTGGCATCCAGAATATGATCTAATTGTTTCAGGCAGCAAAGATAGTCAACAACCAATTAAACTATGGGATTCGAGAAGTGGAACCAATTTAGCGACCATACATGCTCATAAAAGTACAGTGATGGACGTGAAATGGAACCAAAATGGAAATTGGCTTCTAACCGCTTCACGAGATCATTTGATCAAAATTTTCGATATTAGAAATGTAACAACGGAAATGCAAGTTTTCAGAGGCCATAAAAAGGAAGCTTGTTGCTTAGCTTGGCATCCAGTCCACGAATCTCTTTTCGCTAGCGGTGGATCAGATGGATCCATTTTATTCTGGCTCGTAGGGTAAGTGGTAAACTCTTTCTGCGAGTTGTAGGTCGATAAATGTATCATCTTGTTGACTATTTTTTAACACGAATTTCTTATGTCATATTTTTAGAACTGAAAAAGAAGTTGGTGGAATGGAATTAGCTCATGATTCTGTTGTATGGTCATTAAGTTGGCATCCTTTAGGTCACATCTTAGCCTCTGGATCTAATGATCACACTTGGTAAGTGTTTACATTTATCTTTGTCTCTTTCTGACAATAACAATTTACTCTTTCTCATCTCAATTTACTTTGTTTTTCGATTTCAGTAAATTTTGGACAAGAAATCGTCCTGGTGATAGAATGGGTGATAAGTATAATCTTAATATAATGAAAGGACAAGAAGAAGTCGAATATGATGAAGTTGAACCTTTTCCCTCTATACCGGGTATTACTAGAGGAGAGAATGAGGAAGATATTTTCCCGGAAGAAATGGTTGCTGGCAAATCTATCCCAGGTCTCGGTTTACCTGTTGAATCAAATAGTGAAAATAAATCAGAAGAAGGAGGTGAACAACAAAATCAAAGAAAAGTTCCATTCTCTAAACCTGTTCCAAAAGAGTTTGCTAATCAATGGTCTGATAGGAAATCTCATTCTGTGATAGCTCCATCAAATGAAATTGATAGACAATATAATCCTGATCATCATCATCCTCATCACATGAACTCAAATTCATCTCAACAACCTAATCATTTACCACCAAACCAACCTCCAAATGGACCTCCATACATCCATGGACCTCCACCAATGGGACCACCTCATCAATATCCTCCTGGTCCACCTTTACATCCAATGGATCATCCCATGGATGGACCTATGGGCTATGGTGGTCCACCTGTTCATGGTCCAATGCACGGTCCAGGACCAAGTGGACCCAATATGCCCCCTGGAGGTCCACCATCAATGCCTCCTCACATGAGACGTGATGATATGCCTCGAGGAGGTAATGATTATCATTACAATATGCATAATGAACGTTATCATCAAATGCCTCCTCCTCACTCGATGCCTCCCCATCATCCTAAAGACAAGTTTTCTCATAGAAATCAACACCCGCCATCTCATTCACCCCCACCAATGGGCAGTGGAGGTAACATGTACAACGATATGCCCGGGCCAGATTATCATAGACGTGATATGCGTTGGAGAGAAGATGATTATAATCGTGGACGTGATGAAGATTTTAGGAGGCACAACTACGAACCTCGAGGTCCTGGCTGTGAGCCACCCTGGAGACGTCCACCTCCTCCTCCTGATGAATATCATTGGAGACCAAATTATCCACAAAATGATGTCAGATGGAGACGAGATATGAGAGGCGGTGGTCCACCAAATGATCAAAGATGGGACTGGGATAGGCAAGGTGATCATCATAGACAAGCTCATCATTGAAATTGATTCTCTCACTCGCCATTTAAATAAAATGTAAAATCTAATCTAATTTAAAGATTTTCAACAAAATTTTGTCTATCGTTATTATCACATGGACTTTTATATAACTTGAGATTTTTTTTTGTTATATTTTCAGAACGGAAGAGGAAGTTGATGGAATGAAGTTAACTCATGATTCTGTTATTTGGCCATTGAGTTGGAATCAATTAGGTCACATATTAGCCTCTCGATCTAATGATCACACTTAATATGTGTTTACATTTTTCTACGACAAATGAATATACTCCTTTGTTATTCACATTAAAGATTTATTAACAGCAATTTAATCAATTCGATTTATTTCATTGATTGATTTTGAACAATTAAAATGTTGGTTCTCATACTCAGATTTTCAATGACAAATCTTTCTCTCTTAATTTGGTTATCTTATAATTAAGCAACTAGAACTTGTTATTAGTCAATTCATGACGATAAATTTACGTTTCATTTGAATTCGATGAGGATAAAATTTGATGATAATTAACTTTCGACAATTAATTAACTCAATTAATTCAATTAAACTTTCATATGAAAACATTTTCCGACTACAATTTTACTCAACAATTAGAAAATTGTAATTACTTGTGAGTGAACGTTGGACATTAATCGCGAATTCATAAACTTGAAACTTTTCTCCATGAGTGAGATCAATTATTATCTATTCAGATTCGCGTAAAGCAGTAAGTATAATCCAGCACATTCTAATCCTAACTGATTAAGAAAATGAAAAAAATTAAGATTCGCACTGATCAACGATTTATACGAATTGTATTAAACGAGCGTTCTATTAATACTTACTAATAGAGTGAAACGATTACAGATCAAAACATCGTTATTCATATAAACACCAATACCTCGACAGTACAATCGATCCAAGATTTCTAACCTCTATCATATGAAATTGAAATGTTCATGTTATTATTTTAAGATTAAAGTTCTAATCATTATATTCATTAGACTTTACCTTGAGCATGAGGTGAACATCATTACCATTGAAAGTACTAAGACTGTAAATCATTAGATGAACTCTCATTCCCTGTAATATAAACTGATACGGATGAGACAAATTATCGATAATCTATTAATCAATCAATACCTTATGAGAAATGAGAGAGCAGCAGAAATGAAAGGAAATCATGAATATTATACAGAAAGCGCTTGTTCCTCGTAATAGAAAGTTTATCCAAAAGTTGGAGAAATGGTTCTGTGAACCATAATAGATAACCAGAACAAACGAAAATGTTATACAAGAATAGAGAGCCAGAAAAACTATACGAAGTTGCATGTTAACCGAATCAATTAGATTGTTGAACTTTTGTAAATCAACGAGAAAACTTTTCTCGGACTTGCTTAATGTCAATGAAACATTAGATTTACAAATATATGATGATAACTGGGAATATGCAAGCAATACGAAAATCAAGAAATTAACAGTCAACCAAACTGCCACGAATAAAGGGAAATGTATCAAATAGTAAAATGAGAAAATTATGATAACATACAATAGTAATGTCGTCAAATCGACGGCCACGGTGACGGCGATTAGAAGGTGAGTAATGACGAAAAATATTGTGGCATTGTAACTGAAAATTGGAATGAATTTGGCTGCAGAAATGTACCAGGTTCGAAATAAAGATTCGTAGTATGGTGACAACGAAAAAAGTTTCTTTGAAGTTCTAATACACTCAATGTATTCATCGATTACATTGATAAAAGGACGATCAAAAAACTGACCAGAAAAAAGTAATAAACTTGCAATCCAATCACAAGTACACCGGCAAAGAAGCAAATAGAATTAAGAAAAGCTCGTTCATTAAATGAGGCAAAATAATCACCGAGAATCAATTGAATTGTTTGATTGTTTGTTAACCCAAGAATTAACCAACGTGAATTGTATAATAAATTAACGGCTAATATGATGGTGCTTAGGGAGCGTTCATATTTATTGGTATCCAATTTTTTAGTGATGAACTTTGATCGTACAATTAGTTCAAGTTTATCATGAGCAACAATTAAATCAGAGTCATTATAATTGCGATTAGGTTTGGTGAAAGAAAACAAATTACTCAGGTTCATGATTTTCGAGGCAGTAACTGGATATTTCTATGAGCAATTCCAACTGAAATATTAACTAGATTTCAGAATTTCATCTTAACTATTAATACTATCAATGTCTAAGTATTTGATTGTTTTACTGATTAATTGACTGCTCACAATTAAAGAGAATCGATTAGAGACTCAAATAAAATTACACTAATCTCTTGACGATTGTCAGATAGCTCGATCAATTCAGGAATTAGGTTAACTCATTTTAACTAATATGATCAGAACAATCGGCAAAAAGAAAAAGATTGAGGTAAATTGAGTAAATGGGAATAGAATACATGAAAAGTCACCATAATTCGTCGACAATTAAATTAAAACTTTAATTTTCAGTACAATAGTCAAGAGATTATTGTATAAATATTGAAACCAATGTTTCAAAAAGATTATCGATTTTTATGAGTTTTAATAAGACTGAAAATCATTTGGATCATATAGAGAGTTTTAAAACAAACTAATAAGCTAACATGAATATTCACTAAATCAATTTGATAACTGAACTTTTAAGAATCGTTGTTAATGATGGTGAACTTCAATTTGAATCTCTTTTCGCTAGCGGTGGATCGGATGGATCCATTTTATTTTGGGAAGTGGGGGTTGATAAAGAAATTGGTGGAATGGAGTCAGCTCATGATTCTGTTGTATGGTCGCTAAGTTGGCATCCTTTAGGTCATATTTTAGCCTCTGGATCTAATGATCATTCTTGTAAATTTGGACAAGAAATCGGCCTGGTGATAGGATGGTGGATAAATATAATCTCAACACAACGAAAACGCAAGAATCTGAATATTGTGAAATGGAACTTTTTGACTCCATACCGGGTATTTCTAAAGGAGGAAGTGAGGATGTTTTTCCTGGAATGGCTTTAAATAAATCGACTGTTGAGATCTTCTCATCTGCTGAATCAAAATTGGAAGAGGAAGGTGAGCAACAGCGAAAAGTTCCATTCTCCAAACCCATTCCAAAGATTTCGCTAATCAATGGTCTGAGAAGAAATGTCGACCTGTGATACTTTCATCGAGTGAGATGGATGAACAATATAATCCTGATCATCGACATCACCATCACATGGACCTAAATTAAAATTTACCACCAAACCGACCTCCATATATTCATGGTCCTCCAATGAGACCACCTTATCCATAACCTCCTGGTCCACCTCCAATGCCTCCTCATATGAGACGCGATGACATGCATAGAGGTGATAATGATTATCGTTATCATAAACATTATTCAAATGTACCTCATCATCCTGAAGACAATTGTTTGAAATTTATGATTTTCTGGATGAACACCCAAAGAAACACTGATCAAATCAAACAATATCTTTTAGTGGACATATTCTGTATTTTAAATGAATCCTCAAAAAAATAAAGAAAATTAATTATTTAATTTTACATTTTTCTTATTATTTACACAATTTATGGTTAGTTAATAATTAAGACTTTTCATTTGAGGTTCATTAAGATTAAAAGAAATCATTGTTCTTATGAGATTCAAACTTTGATTATAATAATGTGAATATAAATAAAAAAAACTAATTCGATTTAATTGGTTGAAGACAATTTTCCATATTAGAAACCGATTGTTCACAATTTAAAATTTAGATAAATAGAAGAAGATGAAAACATTTGAGTTCATTAAGAGATGAAATACCAGAGATCATTGCCCGAAAGATTCAAACTAATGATGGTTATATTAATGTGCTAATGAACATAAAGAATAACTTTGAGAATTTTCTTCCGTTGTTGATTGATTCGAGATCATTTAGCTCGATGAAGAAAAAGTCTATGGAGGTAGAAATAATCAAGGAAACGGGAGCCACGAAAAAGGTCAGAAGCGACTGTCGAGTGCTTATCCAACAGATTCGTTGTCCATACATTGGACGATATTCATTCGGTAGATTGGAGAGATCAACTGCCACCGAGATGAGGACAATCACCGCTGGAACTAACCAAGAGTAGAGTGAGTATTTAAGAAAGTGAACCATTGAATTAGACAATCGTTCGTGGGTTCGTTTGAATGATTTCCATGCATCGTAGGCCATAACATTCATCCAAGAGAACGAGGCCAAGTACCAATAGTGAATATTAATACCAGTCACTATGCAGAAAAGTGACCCACGAGTATTGGTAAAAGTACTTCCATCATGGTGAGGGGAAGCAGGTCGAGCTAAAAGGGCTGCTTAGAAAGAATTTTTTTGAGTAAAACTTATCCATTGAATTGGACAATGTAGTTCGATGCATTTAAAACTAATCTCAAACAATCCAGCCTCAAAGTAACGGAACCCTGGGAGGTATAAGTTGTTGTATGAGTTGCAGGATTGATGAAATAATTAATATCACATTCAACTGCCTAATTTTTATATTTTACAAAATTATATTAAATTTACTTTTCCATTGATCTGGGCATTAACTACTACGGACATTTGTCTCAATATATCGAGAATCAAAGGTTTTCCATGAGATTTTATATATGAACTCTTGGATATTCAAGCAAAATGGATTTTTCTTAAAAGTACATTAATTACTCAAAATAATCAAGCTACTCGTGTATCCATTCAGTTCTATTGATATACTGAACGTCTATTTAAATTCGAGTACATTAATAAATATAATCCAGCACATTCTAGAGTAAACTAATCATGAAAGTGGAAAAAAATTAAGATTTTCATCAATATTTTATCAATGATCATTGTACTTACCAATAGAGTGAAATGATTACAGAGCAGAATAGTTCCATTCAAATAAATACCAATGTTTCGATAAGACAATCGATCAAGTATTCCAAGTCTCTGTTGATTAATTAACATTGTATTAGAATGATTTATCACATAATTAAAGTTCTATTAATCGAAATTTACCTTAATCATGAGTTGGACATCATTACCATTGAAAGTACAAAGCTTGTAAATCATTAAATGAACTCGATTTCCCTGTAATATAGAAGTTGATATAAATTAGAAAATGAAAAATTATCGATAATTTAATACAAGACCTTATGAGAAATGAGAGAACAATAATAATTGAAAAACATCATGAATGAGAGACACCAAGCACTAGTTCCTCGTATTATAACATTTACCCAAAGATTAGAGAAATAGTTTTGTGAACCGTAATAAATGATCAGAACGATCAAAACTGTCACAAAAGAGTAAAGAGCCAGAAACGCTAGGCGAATCTGAATGTTAATGGAGTCAATTAGATTGTTGAACTTTTCCAAATCATTGAGAAAAGTTTTCTGAATCTTTGTGAATAAAGACGTAGCATTGAACCTACTAAGGTATGAAGATAACTGACAATATGCATAGAATACAGTAATTAAGAAATAGGTAGTTATCCAAACTGCCAAGAATAGAGGGAATTGTATCAAATAGTAAAAGATAGTAATGTGAATCAAATAGATAAGAAATATCTTAAGATCGGGAGCCACTGTAATAATAACTAGAAGATGACTGATTACGAAAAACATTAAAGCAGAATAAGCGAAAATTGGAATAAATTTAGTTCCAAAAATGTACCAATATCGAAGTTGAGATTCGTAATAAGCTGATAAAGAAAAAAGTTTCTTTGAAGTTCTAATACCGTGAACATAATCCTCGACGATATTGACGAAAGATTGATCAAAGAAATTGATCAGAAATAAGTTGTACATAGCTAATCCAATGAAGACAAAACCACCAAAGAAGGAAATACAATTAAGAAAGACTCGTTCATTGAATGATACAAAATAATCGCCGAGAATCAATTGAATTGTTTGATTATTTGTTAGTCCAAGAATTAACCAGCGACAATTAGCTATTAGATTAATGATCAATAACATGTAGCCCATGGAACGGTGATGTTTATCAGAATCGGATTTCTTAACTATAAACTTTGACTGAACAATTAGTTCAAGTTTATCAGCAGCAGCAATTAAATCAGAATAATTATATTTAGAATCAGATTTTTTAAAAGAAAATACATTTTTCTTAATCCAATAAGTTAACTTATTCATGATTAATTTCGTCATTTTATAAACTTGTATCTCAAGACTACTCTTGAAGTCTAATGAATTTGATTTGATTGTTTTTCTCATTGATTAGTCGTTCAAATCAATGCTATTTACTCATCGATATGATGAACTTTATTTTTAATCGTTTTTAATCAACTCATACAAATACAGATCGTTTATGGCTCAGTTTTCTAATTGTTTTTTTTTGTTCTTATATAAATTGATTTTATATCGATTTACTATCATTAAAATCATTCTGATTTCGTTAATGAAACCAGGGAATTGATCAAATTTCAACAATTTCGAGCTGAACTTTTCTGCTTATTGGATGTCACAAGTGAAGGAAAAATAGTCTCAACACAAGTTAACAATTTTTACCATTATAGATGTACAACTTTTCCATCAGAAATTGGAACTGTTCTTAAAGAAACCTCGAAGGTTCCTAAACTAATAATCATATCTTTAATCTATTCATATTTGCGTACATAAGTAAGTATAGCCCAGCGCATTCCAGTAAAACCTGATCAAGAATAGTGAACAATTAAAATCCCTCATGATTATTTCGATTGATTCGGTGTGATACTTACAATTAGAGTGAAACGATTAGAAACCAAGATACAATTATTAACATAAAAACCAATTTTTCGAAAAGATAATCGATCCAAGATTTCTAATTTCTATTATTTTTCAGTGGAAATTTTCACTCCGATTAGTATAATTATCTTTGAATAGAAATGCAACTTGGAATTACCTTAAGCATTAGGTGAACATCGTCTTTATCGTGAATAGAAAGACCATAAATCATCAGATGGACTCGTATTCCCTGTAAATGATCAAATCAATCATAGAATATTCCTAAATACTTAAGTCTATTGATTCATCATAATCAATCAAATTTCGAACGCTAATCAATACAAACCTTGTAAGAAATTAATGAAGCAAAACAATTGTAAAAAGCCATCAATGCGAAGAATAAAAAACTGTAGCCTCGAAGTAGAACATTCATCCAAATATTCGAGAAATAATTCTGTGAACTGTAATAAACGATGAGAACCAAGAAAATTGTTCCACAAGAATAAAGAACCAGGAAAACTAAACTAATCTGATTGTTAACTGAATCAATTAGATTGTTGAACTTTTGTAAATCAACGAGAAAATTTTTCTGAACCTTTGTAACTATCGACGAAAAGTCTAATGGATTATAAAGAGAAAACGAAGATAACTGACAATAAGTAAATAGTACGACGATGAAAAAGTGAATCATGATCCAAAATGCGCTGAATAAACTGTACTGGAGAAAATAGAACGATAAGAAAATAAACATCGATCGAATAGATAATGTCCAAAAATCGGTGGACACTGAGATTGCGATAGAAAGGTGAATTGTAGCAAAGAAAAATAAAATCCCCAGGGTAACGATTGGAAAAAATTTGATCGCTCGTATATAACAAGTTCGAAGTAACAACTCGTAATAGTTTGTTAGAGGAAAAATTTTCTTTGAAGTTCTAATACTATCGACATAGTCTTCGAGTATATCGGTGAAAGGTCGATCCATAAAATTGACCAGAATAATATTGTAAATGTTTAATCCACAGATTAAGGTTAAGCTAATGAAGACCATACAGTTGAGCAAAGCTCGTTCATTAAATGATACAAAATAATCGCCCAGAATTGATTTGACTGTTTCGTTGTTTGTTAGGCCAAGAATCAGCCAACGAAAATTAAAAATCAAACAAATCACCAATAATCTATAACAAACTTTTCGTTGATGTTTATTAGAATTTGATTTTTTAATAATAAACTTTGAACGTTCAACCGATTGTAACTTATCATGAGCGGTAATTAAATCGGTCGTAGTATAACTGTAATTATTGAAAGAGATTAATCCACACAATTTATGCTTGAAATACGAAATTTTCTTTGTTTCAATCATCGCAAAAATCGTATAATTTAATAGTTCTCACTATTGATACAGAACAATCAATGAGTTGATCTACTTGTTGACGGAAAAAAGTTTAAATTATTGAGTTTTTCTCTCTATTTTTCTAGAACTGAATCAATTTTCACTTCTCTCGATTCATTTAAAACAAATATCGATTCCTTTCCAATCAAATATTAGCTTTCCATAGAATTGATTAATTTATTTATTTCGATTATTCAAAATTCTGATTAACATGGAAACTAATCATCAAACTATTGTTAATACAATTGATCGTTTTCGATTTACACAAAGAGCAATAATTGTTATTTTTTCTTTACTCCTGCGAAATCAATCATGGAACCTTATCAAAGCAATCGATAAATTGTCTTCAATTCGAGCTTCATTGACCGATTGACCACTCGATTATACTCCATGATTATTACTCTGTTGAACTTAATCAGTAGATTATTAGTATTAAATTTATTATTAATAGTAAATTTTAATTTGCCATTTCTTTAAAATGTTCACCAACAAATTTAAATCAACTAATCCAAATGACTTTTATTCAATCATTTTCTCGTCTAACGGTAAAATATTACACTCGATTCTGGTTTATACCATCGCTCTTTTATATTTAATCCATGGATTGAACCAAATCTTTAACGATCTATTATTCGTTGATGACAAATTCATGAAGATAAAAAATATAATCTTCTGCATTACCATAGCTTTTAATATGATATTCATGCACTTCAATCGATCTCATTATCAGCACTTTCTTCAAGTTAATCAGCAAATCTTATCAATGGATAATCAACTTTCGTTAGAGGTCATTAAAGAGATGCGTTTCTACAGTCGCTTTATCAATATAAGTATCTTGACATTTGTATTGATCGGTATCTTGGCAGTAGCTATAACTGGTCCACTTATTGGCACTCATGATCCAATAAAATTATTTTACTACTCTTTTGATCTTATAATGAACTTGTTACATGTGATAAGTTGGTACTTCTTTTCACAGTTTATTATAGCGAACTGTATCAATTCTTGTGTGTCTTTTGAAATCATAAGGAATCTCCTGTTAATGGTCTTACAAAATCCCGAAACGGCTAAGCAGATTCGAGAGATTCGTCATCTACATTTACTAGCAGCTAAATCGACACTTGGATTGGACACTTTCTTATCACCTTCGATCTTAGGGTTTTACTTTTTTGTTCTTTCGGAAAGTTTCATGTGTTTTCTGGATATTATTGAGGCGAATGGCAGTCCAATCCAACTCATAACTAGTTCATTTATTTCTATTATCACCTTATGCCAATTGACTTATTATCTTGTTTCAGTTAATCGATTTGCAAGTTGTTGCTATCAAAATGTTTATTGGTTATCGTTCAAAAATTATTCTCAAGATGCTAAAATTGAGGTAAAGTTTTATTTTAATATTAACAATATTGATTGAGAAAATTTATCGGTTATTAATATCCTGTTCTGTACACTCATTAAGATTAACATATTCTTACAACGACTTAAGCCCAGTGATATCGGCCTATCACTCGGTAAAGTTTGTCTAATGACTCCGGAATTCATTTCTAACCTGGCAACTTTACTGTTATCCCTTGGATTAGCAGCTCCAGGACTGCGAAGTAAAAGTGATTACCTAATACTGTGGTTAATGGCTACAATTCAGTGCTCATGCACATCATCACCGACAACCTTTCTTTTCTGGGCTAACAATCATACCAAGAAACAGAAGATTATCCTGTTTGAGATTCAAGAATTAATATAACACAACTTAGTGTTAGTTAATAATTAAGACATTTCATTTGAGGTTCATTAAGATTAAAAGAAATCATTGTTCTTATGAGATTCAAACTTTGATTATAATAATGTGGCTGCTGATGTTTGTGGTAAAAGTGAAATACTTCCGGTTGTCCGACTTGTTGAGTTTCGAGAGACAACTTCATGTCCATGGAGGTAGAAACCGATCTGTTCGCGAAACGCTGTAAAAACTTCCGGCTTACAGATAAAGTAGAAGAAGATGAAAACACCCTGTAGTCCATTCAAGAGGATGAATAGATACCAGAGACTATTGAAACCCGAAAATGCTGCGAAAAACCAAAAGATCCAAGTTAGTCCCATTAATGTCGCCAATCGAACATAAAGTGAATAACTTTGAGAATTTTCTTGACTCGATTTCGAATTGATTACGATTCGAGTTGATCGTTTAGCTCGATGAAGAAAATAAGTTGTCAAGGAGAAAAAGATTAAATTGACAATAATAATCAAGGAAACGGGAGCCACGAAAAAGGTCAGAAGCGACTGTCGAGTGCTTATCCAACTGATTCGTTGTCCATACATTGAACGCTATTCATTCGGTAGATTGGAGAGATCAACTGCCACCGAGATGAGGACAATCACTGTTGGAACTAACCACGAGTAGAGTGAGTATTTAAGAAAGTGAACCATTGAATTAGATAATCGTTCGTGGGTTCGTTTGAATGATTTCCATGCATCGTAGGCCATTACGTTCATCCAAGAAAACGAGGCCAAGTACCAATAGTGAATATTAATACCAGTCACTATGCAGAAAAGTGACCCACGAGTATTGGTGAAAGTACTTCCATCATGGTGAGGGGAAGCAGGTCGAGCTAAATACCCAAAGATTAACGCGACATTATTGGCAAGCTGCCGATAAGCTCATTACCATTCGAGCACGAAGGTTTCGTAGCTTTGGTACTAAACTGGTCACAAAAAGGTAACCACAAAGTCCAAGTATTGATAAAATTGAAGTGACAATTGATAAAATTCCTTGTATATAATTAGAGTACATCGGTGCTGAATAATAAAGTCGCTTTTCATCGTAACAGGTCAATATTCCGTTGATCTTAGTGCCAGTAGATGAATCGATTTTATTGAACACTTGATATGAGTTACGATCATCATTGTATTACTTACCAATAGAGTGAAATGATTACAGAGCAAAATAGTTCCATTCAAATAAATACCAATGTTTCGATAAGACAATCGATCAAGTATTCCAAGTCTCTGTTGATTAATTAACATTGTATTAGAATGATTTATCACATAATTAAAGTTCTATTAATCGAAATTTACCTTAATCATGAGTTGGACATCATTACCATTGAAAGTACAAAGATTGTAAATCATTAAATGAACTCGATTTCCCTGTAATATAGAAGTTGATATAAATTAGAAAATGAAAAATTATCGATAATTTAATACAAGACCTTATGAGAAATGAGAGAACAATAATAATTGAAAAACATCATGAATGAGAGACACCAAGCACTAGTTCCTCGTATTATAACATTTACCCAAAGATTAGAGAAATAGTTTTGTGAACCGTAATAAATGATCAGAACGATCAAAACTGTCACAAAAGAGTAAAGAGCCAGAAACGCTAGGCGAATCTGAATGTTAATGGAGTCAATTAGATTGTTGAACTTTTCCAAATCATTGAGAAAAGTTTTCTGAATCTTTGTGAATAAAGACGTAGCATTGAACCTACTAAGGTATGAAGATAACTGACAATATGCATAGAATACAGTAATTAAGAAATAAGTAGTTATCCAAACTGCCGAGAATAGAGGGAATTGTATCAAATAGTAAAAGACAGTAATGTGAAACAAATAGATAAGAAATATCTTAAGATCGGGAGCCACTGTAATAATAACTAGAAGATGACTGATTACGAAAAACATTAAAGCAGAATAAGCGAAAATTGGAATAAATTTAGTTCCAAAAATGTACCAATATCGAAGTTGAGATTCGTAATAAGCTGATAAAGAAAAAAGTTTCTTTGAAGTTCTAATACCGTGAACATAATCCTCGACGATATTGACGAAAGATTGATCAAAGAAATTGATCAGAAATAAGTTGTACATAGCTAATCCAATGAAGACAAAACCACCAAAGAAGGAAATACAATTAAGAAAGACTCGTTCATTGAATGATACAAAATAATCGCCGAGAATCAATTGAATTGTTTGATTGTTTGTTAGTCCAAGAATTAACCAGCGACAATTAGCTATTAGATTAATGATCAATAACATGTAGCCCATGGAACAGTGATGTTTATCAGAATCAGATTTTCTAACTATAAACTTTGACTGAACAATTAGTTCAAGTTTATCAGCAGCAGCAATTAAATCAGAATAATTATATTTAGAATCAGTTTTGTTAAAAGAAAATACATTTTTCTTAATCCAATAAGTTAACTTTTTCATGATTAATTTCGTCATTTTATAAACTTGTATCTCAAGACTACTCTCGAAGTCCTATCAATTTGATTTAATTGTATTTCTCATTGATTAGTCGTACGAATCAATGCTATTTACTTATCGATATAATGAACTGCATTTTCAATCAACTCATACAAATACTGATCGTTTATGTCTCAGTTTTCTAATTTATTTTATATTTTTTGTTCTGATATAAATTGATTTTCATATCGATTTACTATCATTAAAATGATTCTGATTCCGTTCATGAAACCAGGGAATTGATCAACTTTCACAATTTCGAGCTAAATCTAATCAAAGTTATTAATTGCTTAATGAATGTCATAAGTATACTCTCAATAAAAGTTAACAATTTTTACCATTATAAATACAACTAACGAGTTCTAAGAAACAATTATTTGTTGAGGATACATTTTCTATGAAGTTCCAATACTATCTACATAGTCCTCGAGTATATCGGTGAAAGGTCAGCATTGGACTATATGTACTGTATTGGACTGGCACTCGGTAAAGTCTCTTTAAGGATACCAGAATTCATTTCTCATCTGATAACTTTAGTTTCATCTCTTGAATTTGCAGCACCAGGATTGAGACATCCAGAATAATAAAAGTGTATACACTTGATAGAGAAATATATTTCTCTATCAAATATTTTAACGAATAAAAAATTATAAAGAGTAATCATTAATCATAAGAAACAATCAACTTTTAATCTTTCCTTGATCATAAAGTCATTGAAAACAAAGTAAAATGAAAAGAGAGAGAGAAACAGAGAGAGAGATACATTTTTATCATTTGTAAGGAGGAAAACTTTCGAAATCATCAAATAATTTTCTTGCTCCTTCATCAATAAATCTCAATAATTTGGGTTTCGATTCGTCCGGTGCGTACGAAATTATGCCACGGAACAGTGCCGAAATGGACTCTCTGTCCTCATATGGAACTTTAACCTTTTGGTAATCAAAACCAAAGACTGAGCCTTCGAAATCAGCTTCATCTTCGAGTTGGTTTTTATCCGTTTCATGTGATGATCGATTTGCTAAACATGATGTTGATTGTTCGTTCGAACCACTCGAATTTACCTTTGAACTACTATTGGATGTTGAAGATTCACTATGAGGTTCTTGATTCATATCTCTCTGGCTTGAATTTGTAGGTATATGAATATCAGCGCTGTTGTTGTCACTTGTAGTGTCGGTTTCAACTGTGGAAATTGAAGAGACCATTACTTTTTGAAAATAAACAGTTAAAAGAAAGGTAAACAGTAAAGTGTTTTCACTACAAGCAAAGTCTCAACTTTTCATTCCAAAAAAAGGAACAAAAAATGGTGTCGCCAAGTTACGCTTTGATTATCGAATCAGATCAGCTACCAAGCAGATAAGATTATGTCTGTTACCTGATTATTATCTTATCACGTTTGACGTTCATGGTAATTTAAATTTTTAGAGCGAAATCGGTCGGTTTCGGTTTAGTACCTATGATGATGATAAACTTTCCGTGGTCCACGGAAAGTAGTTTCATGATTTTGAATTGAAAGAAACACTAAGACAATTAAGATTACCCATTAATGACTTGAGGTTGTTTTTTGTGGTCTACGGAAACTTTTTACACTTTTTGTGAGATATTAACCCTCAAAGATCAAATGCCCCTCTCTCATTTCGGTAAAACTGTTGTCCAAATGGAAAAGTGCTCAATCAATGATTTGGCCTATATTAAGATAGGTTCAAAAATAAGTTTCAGATCATTTTTGACACTTGGGACTAATCGTGTTCCAAACATTTAAAGACAACGGACCTGTGGCCGGAGAACTTTGAATATTTTTTTTATCGAAACAATTATCATTTTCTGAAATTGCAATCAATTAATTGTTTCAATGAATCAATGAGAAAGTTAATCAAATCATTAGTTTAATCTTGAGAAAGACAAAAAGTGACAATCAAATGACTATGTTGAAAATTTCATTCTTATTTTGACTCTCTCTCTCTCTCTCTCTCTCTCTCTCTCTCTCTCTCTCTCTCTTTCATTTTCCTTTCTATGTATTATAATATATTGTGCAGAGCACAATTTGTAACATTTACACTGTAAAATAAATTATCGAGTCTCTTGTAATCAATCAATTGAAGTTCTCTAACTTGACCAATTGACCATTTGATGATATTTATTATTATTGCTTTATGTATTGAATGGAACGCATCGAGAAGCACTTTAAGTACAAATTAGTAGTGTATTAATAGATTACCCTTTTACATTACATTTGTGATAATGTTAACCAATTTGCTTAAATCAACTAATCCAAATGACTTTTATTCAATCATTTTCTCATCTAACGGTAAAATATTACATTCGATTCTGGTTTATACCATCGCTTTATTTTATTTGATCAATAGTTTTAAGCACATTGTTGACATCAAAGATCCATTTATCAATCAAGATAAATTCTTGCAGATGAAAAATATACTCTTTTGTTTAGCCATGTTCTTCAATATGATATTCATGCACTTCAATCGATCTCAATATCAGCACTTTCTTCAAGTTAATCAGCAAATCTTATCAATGGATAATCAACTTTCGTTAGAGGTCATTAAAGAGATGAGTTTCTACAGTCACTTCATCAATATAAGTATCTTACTATTTGAATTGGTCGGTGTCTTAACATTGACTATAACTGGGCCGAATTTTGATATTTATGATCCAGTTGGATTATTTGTCGATCTATTTGAGTTTCTATTGAGCATTTTCGGAGTTATAAGTTGGTTTACACTTACACAATTTATAATATCGAACTGTATCAATTCTTGTGTGTCTTTTGAAATCATAAGGAATCTCCTGTTAATGGTCTTACAAAATCCCGAAACGGCCAAGCAGATTCGAGAGATTCGTCATCTACATTTACTAGCAGCTAAATCGACACTTGGATTGGACACTTTCTTATCACCTTCGATCTTAGGGTTTTATTGTTTCATTCTTTTGGAAAACTTCATGGTTTTTCAGGATATTCTACAAATAAATGGAAATCCTTTTCAAATAGCCATAAGAGCGTTTATGTCAATTGTTACTTTAGTCCAAATAACTTATTATCTTGTTTCCGTTAATCGACATGCAAGTTATTGCTATCAAAATGTTTATTGGTTATCGTTCAAAAATTATTCTAAAGAAGCAAAAATCGAGGTAAGATTTTTTTTAATATTAACAATATGATTGCGAAAATGCATCAGTAATTAATACTTTGTTCATTTGTTCATTAAGATTAACATATTCCTACAACAACTTGGTCCAAGCGATATTGGCCTCTCACTCGGTAAAGTTTGTCTAATTACACCGGAATTCATTTCTAATCTGGCAACATTGATGTTATCCCTTGGATTAGCAGCACCAGGATTAAACCGATCATGATTTAAATATTAATATATTAATATGGAAGATACTAATTTGGTTTTACTCACAATTAGTCAAAAGAGATGAACTCATAAGATAACAATTGAGCCCTGTTATTAATAATTAAACAATAGTTCAATATATTCATACGATTCTCAATCATTTTTTCAATTTCGCTAATAATAGTAATATTGTTATTTTTTATTGTAAAATCAATTATCGAGTCTCATATAATCAATCAATTGAATGCTTTTGAATTGACCGATTGACCATTCGAAAATTACATTGGAAATCGATCAACAAACACAAGAGTTTATCTCGAAAGGTTCAAACTCGAACTATCAATTTAATCAATATTCATCCTCTCCTCGGACGGAACTTAGTTTACTTTTCGATCAGGTCAAATCTTCTAATATATAAACTTTTTGATTTAAGTTAAAGATTTTGTGACTCGAAAATCAGCTGAACATTGAGAGAGACAAAAAAAGGGACAATCAGTTGATTGAATTGAAAATTTTATTCATCTGAATTTGAGAAAATTGTTTATATAAAAATTTGATTCATTTTTTAAATTTACACATGAAAAAAAGTTAACACTAGACAATTTTTCTCACCTGAGTATTAATTCAAGTCAAGAGTTGAATTTAATTGAAAGAGAATTGTAATGTAATTAATGTAATCAATTAAGAAAATGCTGATTAATTAATTTTTCGCATTCAATTTGCTTCCATTCAATACCATAGGTGGAGCTTTGGTTAGTTTGTTATGATTGAACCGCCATTTGGATTGTTCATTTTTCTGATTTTCAATTCAATTGTTTTTAATTCTTCCTCTTTAATTAATTGTTACTTTAGTTTTACTTTGAGTTAAATGATTAAACAATTTAACGTAATCAATTCTGGTTAATTGGTGTAACAATTTAAAGAGATAATTGTGATTAACTTTGATTCTTTTCCTTTGCTTTTTTCTCCTGATTGGTTGTTCTCCAGTTGCTTGGATACATTTTCTATTTCATTTTCTTTTATTTGTGATTCTCTTTTTCTTTCATTTTTTGTTTCTTCTCCTTCTATTGTCGCTTTTGTTTTGAATTTTTCTTGATGTAATCTTACCATTTATCTTGTTCCGTGTTCTTCTTGGACTTTTGTTTTATCATTTGGACTGTTCAAAATGTCCAATTGGACCCCAAAAGAGGGTAAAGGTGGTCATCCGCCGTTTCAACCTCGACCACCCATTTATCAGGCAACTGAATTTGATGGTAAACGATTGAGAAAAGCTATTGCCAGAAAAACAGTTGATTATAATACCTCGATTGTAAATATGCTTGAAACAAAAATCTGGACTAAAAATCATTATGATAGGAGAGCCATTCAACCTGATTATGGTTATTATCCTCAATTATTACCTCCGATGTCTTTTGTTGATAATCCGGTTAATTGTGTTACAACTAAATTTGTTCGTACATCAACTAATAAAATGAGATGTCCAATATTTTGTGTTCTTTGGACACCTGAAGGTCGACGTTTAGTAACTGGTGCCTCAAGTGGTGAATTTACCCTTTGGAATGGGTTAACATTTAATTTCGAGACAATTTTACAAGCTCATGATTCCGCTGTTCGAGCAATGGTTTGGTCTTCAAATGATATGTGGATGGTAACTGCTGATCAATCTGGTAATGTCAAATATTGGCAGAGTAACATGAACAATGTTAAAATGTTTCACGCTCATGATGATCCAATTAGAGGTGTTTCAATGAGTCCATCGGGAAATAAATTTGCAACTTGTTCAGATGATGGAACCATAAAAATATGGGACTTTTTCAATTGTATTGAAGATCGAACCCTTCGAGGACATGGATCTGATGTGAAAGCTGTCGATTGGAATACAGAATATGATCTAATTGTTTCAGGCAGCAAAGATAGTCAACAACCAATTAAACTATGGGATTCGAGAAGTGGAACCAATTTAGCGACCATACATGCTCATAAAAGTACAGTGATGGACGTGAAATGGAACCAAAATGGAAATTGGCTTCTAACCGCTTCACGAGATCATTTGATCAAAATTTTCGATATTAGAAATGTAACAACGGAAATGCAAGTTTTCAGAGGCCATAAAAAAGAGGCTTGTTGTTTAGCTTGGCATCCAGTCCACGAATCTCTTTTCGCTAGCGGTGGATCGGATGGCTCCATTTTATTTTGGGAAGTGGGGGTTGAAACAGAAATTGGTGGAATGGAGTCAGCTCATGACTCTGTTGTATGGTCGCTAAGTTGGCACCCTTTAGGCTATATTTTAGCTTCTGGATCTAATGATCATTCGTGTAAATTTTGGACAAGAAATCGGCCTGGTGATAGGATGGTGGATAAATATAACCTTAATGAAACAAAACACAAGAATCTGAATATTGTGAAATGGAAATTTTTGACTCAATACCGGGTATTTCTAAAGGAGGAAGTGAGGATATTTTCCCTGGATTGGCTGCAAATAAATCACCTGTTGAGATCTTCTCATCTGCTGAATCAAAATTGGCAGAGGAAGGTGAGCAACAGCGAAAAGTTCCATTCTCCAAACCCATTCCAAAAGATTTCGCTAATCAATGGTCTGAGAAGAAATGTCAACCTGTGATACTTTCATCGAGTGAGATGGATGAACAATATAGTCCTGATCATCACCATCACCATCAAATAAACCTAAATTCATGCAATTTACCACCAAACCGACCTCCATACATGCATGGTCCTCCGGTGAGGCCACATCAATATCCTCCTGGTCCACCTCCAATGCCTCCTCATATGAGACGTGATGATATTCATAGAGGAGATAATGATTATCGTTATCATATGCATAATGAAAATTATCAAATGCCTCCTCATATGAGACGTGATGACATGCATAGAAGAGATAATGAATTTCATTACAATACTCATAGTGAATATTATCCTCAAATTCCCCCCCATCATCCTGAAGACAATTCATTTGGAAATTTTCATGGTTTTCCTGTACATTTGGCACACAAAAAGAAACACTTTTCAAATCGCAAATAAAGATTTTTTCTTTACTTTATTGGACATATTTCTGTATTTTAACATCTTTGAATTTGACAAAAAATAAATAAAATTAATTCTATTCAATTGGTTGAAAACAATTTTCTTATTATTAACACAATTTATGATTAGTTAATTAAACATTGAACATCAATCAACAAACGCAATTCAAGAGTTATCTCGAAAGGTTCAAACTCGAACTATCAATTTAATCAATATTCGTCCTTTCTCGGAACGGAACTTAGTTTACTTTTCGATCAGGTCAAATCTTTCAATTAATAAACTTTTTAATTAAACTAAAGTTAAACTTTTTGTGACTCGAAAATCAGCTGAACATTGAGAGAGACAAAAAAAGGGAAAATCAGTTGATTGAATTGAAAATTTTATTCATCTGAATTTGAGATAATTGTTTATATAAAAATTTGATTCAAAGTTTAATTTATACATGAAAAAAAAGTTTGATCAACATTTAAATTCACTGTTGATTTATAATAATACAAATTGTGAGGAGCAATTAAATGCAACATTTACTCTGAATGAAAATAAAGGTGATGAATTTATAAATGTCGAGTCTGCGTTTTGATCAGAAAAAAAGGGGATTAGGAAATTAACTATTATCTAAATTTAATTAGTTTAGATGATCGAATATTGTTGATAAAGGAGATCTCGAACTCGAAAATAATCATTGGAAAGTGTTCCCTCTATTAGAATACGACCAGTTTCATGGCGTTTGATGGTCACCGAATTGTTACAATGAAGAATTCCACCATGAAATTCAGCTTGGATTCCATCGTTCATGAGAATTTGTTTAAAGTCGGATAATTTAAGTTCATTGACGAAGATATTTTCATGAGGTTGAACATATTTAGCAGCAAGAGGTTGGAGTATTGGTAAAACTTCACGAGATGATGAGGATGAGAGAGAAGAAGATGGAAAATCATCTCCATTTGTTTCCATGTTCATTTCTTGTTGATTTTCTTTATTAATGCTATTAAGAATACCCTCTTTAGAGTCTTTCGATCCATCAGGATTTTGGTCCGTTGATGAGCTCAATGCTTGAGGTTTAAGTGATCGCTCTTCCGACATTTCGATATCAGCATCAATCCAGGCCAATTCAGTTCCATCTTTAGCTTTAACAAAGTTTAGTGTGGACACAAGGGAATCTTTTAATTTAACTTGATAAATGTGACTCTCGGTTGTTGCATCAACAGTTTCACCAACTTTTGGTGTAAAAATTTTCTTTGTTTCCGTTATTGATGAACAATAAACAGCTAATTCGTGAGTTGCTTCCGGTGATCCATGAATTAACACTAAACGACGAGGCTTAATTTGAGAGATAATTTTCTTCAATGAATCTTTGTCCGATCGACCCTCAAAATCAATAAATTGTATATTCGCGTTAACGTAAAACGTTTGAACATTGGTGATACATTTTGTTGGTACTTCTTGTATTTCATTTGCAGAAGCCTTTTGATTAACAGTCTCTTTATCGCCTTTCTTATTTTCCTTGTTTTCTTCAAATTTAACACCTTGATTTGATTCTAATGTTGATGAATTATCAGTTATCGGGAAAAGTTTGTGATTACTGTAGGCACCATAATCGTCCCATTTAATTTTATGCTCCGGGGCGGGAAACATTGGGAACGGATTTTTACCCTGCTTGAAGAGTCCGCCGACTTTAACTTTACCCACTCCAATAGGCATAACTAGATCGTATTTTGAATATCCAAGTCCTTCATGGGTCTCACTTCCTGGTCCCGAACTACCACCAAGTCCAGTGATTCCTAAATTGTAACTGATTCCGCTGTTTGCTCCTTGGCCGATTGTACTTTTATTGATCAAATCATCACCATCCGATTCAGAATCTGAATCAGAATCTGTTTCAACCTTTTTCATGTTTATCATCTCTTTTTTAGCTTGCTCTCTTTTATACTCTTCCAATTCTAATCCTTCCAAAGGTATTCGCTGTTTGATTAATAAAGTGATCAACTTTTGTGAGCTATTAATCAATTGGTGAGCAAGAGTTCCTGGTGGTGATCTTTGGGTTAAGATGATACAATTTCTGGGATTGGTACACCATTGGACAAACAGTTCACGGGCAAATCCAGATTCTAAATCGGGCTGAGAAGCGAGGACGACTCTTGGTTCACGAACTCGTTGTTGAAGCTCTTTTAAATTGTGGCACAATTGTAAATGCCTAAACTGGAATGGATTGTTTCTCTGGCCCTCGAAAGATTTTGTAATCTTTTCACTCATCCATTCAACTTGTGATTTAGCAAATTCAATCACATTGTAAGAGATTGTATTCAAAAGAGCCAATGAATAAGCCAATAGACCGGCATTGGGTGTATGCCAAAGTTGATCTAACATATGAGCCAATTCAAGAACTCGACCTGCAGTGTCAACAGCAATCAGAACATTACCACCATCGCGAAGTGTGGCCAAAATATTGGTCATTAATTGTTCATCACGCTCTTTCCTACGAGCCTGTGAATATTTGGCATTATAAGCATCGGTCACCAATAAACTAGGTCTTGATAAAAAGGATCTTTCGTTAAGCGAACCACCTAAATTACAACCATTTAAATGTCTCTCTCTTTTATGGTTATAATCAACAGCGTAAATTATATCTTCTTCACCGTCTTTAACAATACGCCAAATTGCCCCACCGATCATATGACCCGCCGGTAAAGGGGTAATACTAATACCTTGTCCTCCTTTTAAAGAAGCCGTCTCGTTGTATTTTAATTGAATTATTTTATCGAAAGCAGCATCAACATCATCCAAAGTGAATAAATTAAAATTCTCATAATTATGGCGAGATTGGTGTAAATCGTACATGAACATTTGTCCCATTTTAAAGATCGGAACTGTCGCATAAATGGGACAATCTAAGCCACATTTTCCAACCAAATAAGGCAAAGCACCTATAAGAGAAACACAGAGAATAGAAAAGAGAAATTGACTAACTGATTAATGGAAACAATTTAACAGAACAACAATTAAATTAACTCACCTAAATGTAAAGTATCAGGATGGGAAAGTAGAACGGCATCAACATTTTTAATAGTATTTTTATTGTAAATATTTGTAGGCTCAGAATCAATGTTTGGATCTAAACCACAGTCTAAAAGGAAGGTGAAAGAATCAATTGTTAACAGATAAGCTGGTGGTCCTTCATCATGAGCACCCGATAAAGGTTTAAATTTGATGATGGAAACCATAATTTAAATAAAAGAACTAAATTAACAGAGATGAGAATTAAGTTAACAATGGAAATTGTTGTCAATCATTGAAAAGACAAAGTGATGAACAGATGATTTTGGTGATGAAACTTTCGATACTATCGATAAGTTGAAAAGGAAAATTTTTTTTTCGATTTGATTTTGTTTGAGAAGAAAATTAATTTTTGTGGTCATTTATTTTTCGTATTTTAGTTGATGGTTTTAGAAAAATTTTTGCTTTTCTCTTTTAAGGTTTTAATGGGGCTAAGCCAAGTTTCGCTCTGAGTGCGTTCGCCTCGTCGATTTCGTCTTGATAAGTTTTTCCTCCTCCGCTCGATTTGCCGGCTTTCTCTTTGTTGGAATCTTTTCTTGAGCGATTGTCATCTTTATGACCTAAATAAGGGGCCAGATTAAGGAAAGAAAATTAAGTTAATTGGGTTAATTAAGAAGGATAAAGAGTTATGGTAATGGTCGATTGACTTACGTTCAGATGATTTATCTCTTCTTTTTGTACTTGATCTTTCTTCGCGTCGAGAATGGTCAGAGTATCGATCGTATTTGTTTCGATCTCTGTCTCTACCTCGATCTCGGTCTCTGTCACGATCTCGATCTCTGTCTCTTCCTCTATCTCTATCATAGTCACGATCTCTATCACGGCCTCTATCTCTATCTCTTTCACGTTCTACACTTCGATCTCTTCCTCTACCTCGATCTTTTCTTCTTCTCCTCTTTTCATCATCTAAATCACGTTCTGAAGATCTCTCTCTATTTCTTACATGCTCTTCACCTCGACTCATTTTCTCAGTATTTTTCTTCGAATTGGTATCTTCCATATCTTCTTCATTCTCTTCTTCAGAGTCATCATCAAGCTCTTCTTCTAACAAACTCGCTCTCGGTTCTAATTCACCATTTTCCTCATGAACTCGACGAGCACTAATTCGAGGTAAAATCACATCGAATACTCTGTCTTCTCTTAACAGCATATCGATAAATTCATCCATGTGAATGATTGAAAATTTTCCCATCCGATCGATGTAACGTAATTTCCTGTAATCATTGTAAAGTGGTTCCAAATACTTGTACACATCCAATGAGCTGGTCGTTAATCGCAGGTAATAAGCACTTAAAGCTCGAGCATATCTAAAATTATCATGAAAGAAAAAAAATTCATTTTCAATTAAACCAGCAGAGATTAAGAATAGAAGAAAAAAATTAAAATAAAAGGTAACAAAATACTCACTTGAAATTTGTCTGTTTGATAAATTCGATGATAATATCTTTATGAGGTTGAATTTGTAACATTTTCAAGATCAAACAAAGAAAAGGTGTCGGCTTAATGTTCCCACCGTAAATACCACCGACATATTTTAATTCAGTTGATTTATCAACAAGAGATTCCTCATTGATACCAAAACAATCCTCTTTCCAGAACCTGGATTCATAAATTCTACCCCTGATAATCCTCTCGATTAAATACTGTGGATTAGTTTGATGAATAGATTTAACGTCCTTTAAAGTTCGATTCGCCATTTTTTTCAATGAAAACTCGAAAAATCTCAAGTACCAAAAGTCAAGACAAAAAAACACCGAAAGAAAAATATAACAATCAGCTGATCATCACTGAACTTAGTTTCTCAACTGTTGCAGTATTTCAAGAAAAAGAGAGAAAAACAAACTGAATACCAACAAAACAAATCAAACAATTAGCCAAAAATCAAAGGTAAGTGGAGATCAAACCAATCGAATAGTAAACAATCAATTTAATTCAAATTAAATTTTGACAATTTTGTTTCCAAAAATGAAAACATGTTTGGGATTCGCTTCACAACGAGTACAAAACATATCGATATCAGTATCAGATAGAAAAGCGGTAAACTATGAATGGAATCAAATTTGATTCAATTGTTAACTTTATTGTTTGTTTAAAAAGCAGAGAAAAAATTAATTCAGTAATGAATCAATCAGAATATCAGAATTGGAAAATTAGTTCAACTTAAATGTTATTAGTTGTTGAGAATTTCTTTTTGATTAGTTTTGTTGTTGTTGTTGATTGATTGATTCTGATTATGATTAAATCATCATCAAAGATTTTACCATTGATAAGTTGACGTTTTTGATGACATTGAATTGTAAATTAAGATACTATTAAGAGGAATAAATTGTTTAGTGATAAATTTAACTGTTTCCTGGGCTGCACAACCTCCAATGAATGCAGATATTGAATGTAATTCAGCTCCACCATAACGAGACATTTCATGGACAAAATCATCTTTGGATAAATTGTTACAACCTAAATCATTGATTATCTCTTTTAAGCAGCTTTTAAGTGTTGATATATCACTTTCAACAAGATCATCACAATAACCTGGATATCTATTGTAAAGAGTATAAAATCTACTGATTGATCGGAACATTAAGTAAAATATTAGGTCATCACTTTCATCACCATCAAAATCAGCGCAATTGATCAATTCACGTAATTTACTTGAGATTTTAACTGAACTTTTATCATCGTCACCGGGATTGGAATTAAATTCAGGCCAAATGGGCGATGTTCGGATAATTTTGAGACAATGTAAATTACGGCAAAAAGTTTTCACTTGTTCCTCTGAAATTGAATCCATTGATTTACCCAATGAATTACATACAGAGGTAAGGCAACTGTAAAGGGTTTCCACATCTTCACGGGCTTTGGTTTGATAGATTTGTTGTAATTTAACATAATTTGTCGTGTCCGCGGTCATATCGGGCAGAGATCCTCGAACAGGTAAACACCCGTCACTTTTTTGACTTAAAAATACTTTTAAAGCTTTTACTAGTAACCAAAAACTAGAATTTTCAATTTTACTCTCCATTAAATTTTCAATAACTGGATCATTGAGAATGTCGTAAGTATCACTTGGAATCTTATTTGATGATATAAGGACAGTGTTCACTGATTTAATTGCTTCTTCAAAATTTTCCAATTCGATTTCCGATTCAATAGCATTTTCAGCTGATTCTTCTTCATTGATTATTTTGTTCTTTACACTGGTTTTAATTTTCTTCATCGATTCTCGAATCAATTTACGAATCTCTTCCTTTTCTTTAAAAGATGAAGGTAAACACGTTGGACTTTTACCATTAGTTGATTGCCATATTTTGAGAAATTTGTAAATAATGACAACAAATGGAATTTGTGATACTTCCGAGCGACTATAATCCTCGAAACTTTTAAATGACTCGAAATACTCAGTAAGTTCTGCGAATAAAAAAAAGAAAATAACATTTGGAGAAAAGGGAAAAGATAAATACAGGGTGACAGTTATTCAATGATAGAATTTACCTTTAAATGGTCGATCTAATCGTAAATCTTCAAGTGAATTATCGGGATGAGCTTCAATCACCGGATGTTCACGAACTTGAACTCGAATAAGACCAACAAAACCAATAGAATAGGTAAGAATCAAGGGAATGTTATAATTCCAAGTGATCTCTGACAATTTAGACAGAGTTTTCTCATTATGTACATTAGCAGCAACAACGGTGGTAAAATTTTTAAACAATGACGGATTACTCTCGATGAGAGTTTCAACTGATTCTTCAATATAATCACCGGAAACATCAGGATTCAATTCAAGGAGCATTTGACAGGCAACAGAAGCACGAGATTTACCAAGGCGTGAAGATGTATCACAGAAAAAATTGTTATCATCCTCAGTGGAAACCTTGGAACCATCAATTATAGTAAATGAACCAATACCAGCAAGAACAAGATTCTTTAAAATTTCAGTTCCGGTTGCATTTGCGTTAATCAGACAAACTGAACTTCCTTCAATCAAATATTGACCAGAATCTCCCCAGATTCGCAATTGTCGATCATACTTACGATTCTTTTCATTCTCATAATTGGTAGCAGGAGAAGATGGACTTTTAGGTGACTTTTGATTGCTAATTAAATCACCCAAACGATGCATGTTTCGTTCAAAATTTGATTCTCTAAAATCAAGTGAAAAAAAAGGTCAAAAGTAAGGGTAACAAAAAGATAAACAAAACAATCACAACCCCAAGAGCAAATTGAATAACCAAATATCTTTGAGATTCTAAACAATTGGCTAGAATCTTGAACCAACACGATATTCTTAGAAAAGATAATTTCTCAGTTAACAATAAACAATAAATGGACTAATTAAAAAACCGGTAAGTTGATTAAACAAAAACTCCAAACAATTGCGATCACAATTTGAAGGAACATGTGAAAAGATCCGATCCAATTATCTTTTAGTTTTCGATATTTTCCCCAAAAGGCGCGAAGTTTGAAATCGAATTTCGATTTCATCATTAGAACTTTTTTCTTTCAAAAAGTTTCCATCGATCGATTAACTTACACAGAGAATATTTTATCGAAGAGAATCAAAAATTTCTTTCTAAATTGTGATTGTGATTGTAACTGATTCTAAAATGTGATCATAAACTGCAGAGATAATTAATGAATAATGTTTAGAGTGAAATGTAAACATGAATACGAAATGAAAAAGATTTAGAATCTTAATCAAATCAAACAATCAAATCTAATTAAGAATTTAAAATTGTTCCAATGAAAATGATTAAATTACACAATAAATCAAGATAATTTATTTAATTACTTTAGGGCCATTTTCTTAATCATTTTCACCTTGATCAATTGTGATAATTTTTTTTATACTAAATTAAGTTAAATCAAGATATTTACTGGTTAAGTTGATCATTTGATTTAGTTGGAAATGTTAAAATAAATAAATTAACTTAAACGATAACAAGTCAAGCTTAATTTGTTTCAATTAACTGATTCCAACAAATTAAACTGACTTGTAATTCATTAAATTAAGTAAAATAAAAAATTCTGGTCATTTATTAATCAAAATGATTAGTCAAATATTGTCACCATTATTAACAATCAACAATCACAATCAATTAAACTAACAAACCAAAAAACAAACACTTAACAATATTAACTAATTTTAACAACATTGATTTGCTAAAAAGTTATTGATTATTGTGGTGATCAATTGATTGAATATCAACAACAACAATCAAGTTAATAATCAATTTCATTAAAAGTGTTAAAATCAATGTAATCATCTCATCAAGAAAACTTAATTAGTGTTCATGTTAAATTCAACAATTAACTGGAAAGATTTTGCAAATTATCTGGTGATAACTTTGATTCCTTAACACTTACAATTAACTATTTTAATCAGTGTTTACATTTAACTCTCATCATAATTGAACACAACAATTTAGTTGCAATAATAAACAACAAGATTGTTTAACATTCTCGCAATAGGAAACTAATTTTAATGATTAATTGATTTTCACAATTTGCTTAATTGCCAAAAATAAACCAACACCCAAAAAAGAAAAGTTAATTTCTCAGAATCTATTTTAATTGTGAACCAACAAATCATCATCAAAATTATCATCAGAATCTTTTTTTTTTAATCATTTAAACAAGGAAATTAACAAATCTAACTAAGATTTAACCGGATATCCTTTTAATCATAATCATTACTTAATCATCATCAAATATTAGATAAAGAAAAACAATTTCTCTCATTTTGTAAACATTGATTAACTTGATTACTTCAACCAATATTAATCAACAATCAACAACCTTTTCAATTATATTAACCATTTTCCCTTTTAATATTTTACCACCTTAATTGTTGCAGTGTTTTTGCCTTTGAAAGGCTTAATTGTTTGATTACAATGTTGAATTACTTTGTGGTTCTAATTATTTTATTCAATTGTGGTTCCATTGTTGATAATTTAAATTCGGACGAAGATTGGTCATTAATAATTAATCAAATGATTGATTTTCAACACAGTTGGAAATTTGCAAGAAATGAATCTCGACGATACAAGAAATTTAATTTCTGTCGGAAAACTTTTGATAATCAACGTGATCTTTGTACTAAATTACCTGGATTTACTGGTGAATCAAGTGAATTTCAATTTCTACTTCCAAATTGTTATTGTGACAATGATTGTCATCGTTTCGATGATTGTTGCATCGATAAAGTGGCCGGTGAAATGTCCTCATCAACTGACCATTCATCTCGAAGAACCGATAAGCAACCTTGGTCTTGTGTAGATCTACCGATCTCAATACATGGTCTTTATGCTTACAAAAAGTGTCAACCCGCTTTCCAATCAACGGTAATTGAAGACCTTTGCCTTTCTGAGCCTCGATCGTTTCTCCAATGGTTACCCGCTTTTAGTTTGACCTCAAAAATTTTCTATCGAAATTTATTCTGTGCTGTATGTAATTCCGACCATCGAGAGCTTTTCGATTGGAATCTAACCGTTTCTTGTGATCATAATACTTCACATATCGATATAAATCCTTACATTAGGGAAGACAATTTTAACTATTCAACGGGATTATGGGAATTTACTGTCCCAAACGAAGTTGAGGTCAAATATAAAAGCCAAGAATCTCAATTCGGTGCTGGTGGTGTTTTCACTATCAAGAGTTCAGACGGAAAATGGCGATGTAAACCTTCACTTCCTCAGTTAGAACATTATGATTCGAGGGTTACCTTTGGTACTCGTGCCTGTCAACCGGTCGTCGATTCATGTCCTCCCGATTTCGTCGATAATTATTTAAAAACTTTATGTTCGACTTATACTTTTCTGGTCGGACTTCCACAAAAGAAAACAATCTATCGAAATATATTCTGTGCTCGATGTAATCTTCCAAACGATTCGGACTTAAGACGATTAGATTGTGATCTGAACAATATGTCACCTCATGCAAACGCACCATCGGCGTTCACTTATATTTCACTTCGTCAATTGTTTGATGTCAACTCGTATTCATCGTGTTCACTGTCACACAGTCAAATATACAATCCAAGTACTAAACATTGTATGGTAGTTCAATGTGACACTAATTATTTCATCAATCCCGAAACTGGTCGATGTGAGTCAACAACTTATACCTCCCAGGGTTCCGTTACTTTGAGGTCAGATTGTTTGAGAATTTTTTTCAATGCATCGGACTACATTGTCCAATTCAATGGATCAATTTTACTCAAAGAAAATTCCGTTCTTCTTGATCGTAACTCATATCAAGTGTTCAATAAAATCGATTCATCTACTGGCACTAAGATCAACGGAATATTGACCTGTTACGATGAAAAGCGACTTTATTATTCAGCACCGATGTACTCTAATTATATACAAGGAATTTTATCAATTGTCACTTCAATCTTATCAATACTTGGACTTTGTGGTTACCTTTTTGTGACCAGTTTAGTACCAAAGCTACGGAACCTTCGTGCTCGAATGGTAATGAGCTTATCGGCAGCCCTTTTAGCCGCTAATGTCGCGTTAATCTTTGGGTATTTAGCTCGACCTGCTTCCCCTCACCATGATGGAAGTACTTTTACCAATACTCGTGGGTCACTTTTCTGCATAGTGACCGGTATTAATATTCACTATTGGTACTTGGCCTCGTTTTCTTGGATGAACGTAATGGCCTACGATGCATGGAAATCATTCAAACGAACCCACGAACGATTGTCTAATTCAATGGTTCACTTTCTTAAATACTCACTCTACTCGTGGTTAGTTCCAGCGGTGATTGTCCTCATCTCGGTGGCAGTTGATCTCTCCAATCTACCGAATGAATATCGTCCAATGTATGGACAACGAATCTGTTGGATAAGCACTCGACAGTCGCTTCTGACCTTTTTCGTGGCTCCCGTTTCCTTGATTATCATTGTCAATTTAATCTTTTTCTCCTTGACAACTTATTTTCTTCATCGAGCAAAACGATCAACTCGAATCGTAATCAATTCGAAATCGAGTCAAGAAAATTCTCAAAGTTATTCACTTTATGTTCGATTGGCGACATTAATGGGACTAACTTGGATCTTTTGGTTTTTCGCCGCATTTTCGGGCTTCAATAGTCTCTGGTATCTATTCATCCTCTTGAATGGACTACAGGGTGTTTTCATCTTCTTCTACTTTATCTGTAAGAAGGAAGTTTTTAAAGCGTTTCGCGAACAGATCGGTTTCTACCTCCATGGACATGAAGTTGTCTCTCGAAACTCAACAAGTCGGACAACCGGAAGTAGTTCACTTTTAGCACAAACATCAGCAGCCACATTATTATAATCAAAGTTTGAATCTCATAAGAACAATGATTTCTTTTAATCTTAATGAACCTCAAATGAAAAGTCTTAATTATTAACTAACCATAAATTGTGTAAATAATAAGAAAAATGTTTTCAACCAATTAAATAGAATTAATTTTATTTATTTTTTTGCGAATTCAAAGATATTAAAATACAGAAATATGTCCAATAAATTTAAAAAGATCTTTGTTTTCGATTTGAAAAGTGTTTCCTTTTGGGTGTTCGTCCAGAAAACCATGGAAATTTCCAAACGAATTGTCTTCAGGATGATGAGGATACATTTGAGGATAATGTTCATTATTCATATGATAACGATAATCAATATCTCCGCTATGAATATCATCACGTCTCATATGAGGAGGCATTGGAGGTGGACCAGGAGGGTATTGATAAGGTTGTCTCATTGGTGGAGGACCATGAATATATGGAGGTCGGTTTGGTGGTGGTAAATTGTAATTTAGATCCATGTGATGGTGATGATCAAGACTATATTGTTCATCCATCTCACTCGATGAAAGCATCACAGGTTGACATTTCTTCTCAGACCATTGATTAGCGAAATCTTTTGGAATAGGTTTCGAGAATGGAACTTTTCGCTGTTGTTCACCTTCCTCTTCAAATTTTGATTCAACAGGTGAACAGATTTCAACAGGTGATTTATTTGCAGCCAATCCAGGGAAAATATCCTCACTTCCTCCTTTAGAAATACCCGGTATGGTGTCAAAAATTTCCATTTCACAATATTCAGATTCTTGTGTTTTTGTTTCATTAAGGTTATATTTATCCCCCATCCTATCACCAGGCCGATTTCTTGTCCAAAATTTACACGAATGATCATTAGATCCAGAGGCTAAAATATGACCTAAAGGATGCCAACTTAGTGACCATACAATAGAATCATGAGCTGACTCCATTCCACCAATTTCTTTTTCAACCCCCACTTCCCAAAATAAAATGGAGCCATCCGATCCACCGCTAGCGAAAAGAGACTCGTGAATTGGATGCCAAGCTAAGCAACAGGCTTCTTTTTTATGACCCCTGAAAACTTGCATTTCCGTTTTGATATTTCTGATATCAAAAATTTTGATCAAATGATCTCGTGAAGCGGTTAGAAGCCAATTTCCGTTTTGGTTCCATTTCACGTCCATTACAGTATTTTTATGTGCATGTAAGGTGGCCAAATTGGTGCCAACTCTTGGATCCCATAGCTTAACAGGTTGTTGACTGTCTTTGCTGCCCGAAACAATCAAATCATACTCTGGATGCCAATCAACAGCTTTAACATCAGCCCCATGTCCTCGAAGAGTTAGTTCTTCAATACATTTTAAAAAGTCCCATATCTTTATGGTTCCGTCATCAGAACAGGTGGCAAATTTAGCCCCTGACGAACTCATGGAAAGACCTCTGATTGGATTTTCGTGAGCCCCAAACATTTTAACGTTGTTCATATTACTCTGCCAATACTTAATGTTACCAGATTGATCAGCAGTTACCATCCACAAATCGTCCACGGACCAAACCATTGCTCGAACAGCGGAATCATGAGCTTGTAAAATTGTCTCAAAATTGAATGTCAAACCATTCCACAGAGTGAATTCACCACTTGAGGCACCAGTGACTAATCGTCGACCTTCAGGTGTCCAAATTGTACAAAATATTGGACATCTCATTTTATTGGTTGATGTTCTAACAAATTTAGTTGTGACACAATTAACTGAATTGTCGATGTAAGACATTGGAGGCAATATCAGTGGATAATAACCATAATCAGGTTGAATGGCTCCTCTATCATCGGAATATTTTGCCCAACGATTTGTCTCAATCATGTTTACAACTGATGAATTGTAATCAACTGTTTTTCGAGAAATTGCTTTTCGTAATCGCTTACCATCAAATTCAGTTGCCTGATAAACAGATAATCGAGGTGGTAAAAATCCTTTACTCATTGCAATTGAGAAACAAAAAAAAAGTACAAAACACTATGATGTTTACTAGAAGTCAAAATAACAACAAACTAAAAAAGTTGCGATGAGAAAATTTAAAAATTTTGTTTACTATTTTCTGCACATGCGCAATGGAGTCGATTTCGGCTAATGAGTCATTAGCCGCTGGCTAAACAGGTGATAAACTTTTTAGTCGATTAACTTTCTCATTTAAAATAAACTGTTTTGTTCAAAGAGTAAAAACCTTGAATTGGATGATGGAAATTAAGTTAACAATGGAAATTGTTGTCAATCACTGAAAAGACAAAGTGATGAACAGATGATTTTGGTGATGAAACTTTCGATACTATCGGTAAGTTGAAAAGGAAAATTTTTTTTTCGATTTGATTTTGTTTGAGAAGAAAATTAATTCATCATCTAAATTCCGTTCTGAAGATCTCTCTCTATTTCTTACATTCTCTTCACCTCGACTCATTTTCTCAGTATTTTTCTTCGAATTCGTATCTTCCATATCTTCTTCATTCTCTTCTTCAGAATCATCATCAAGCTCTTCTTCCAACAAACTCGCTCTCGGTTCTAATTCACCATTTTCCTCATGAACTCGACGAGCACTAATTCGAGGTAAAATCACATCGAATACTCTGTCTTCTCTTAACAGCATATCGATAAATTCATCCATGTGAATGATTGAAAATTTTCTCATCTAAAATCTCAAATTAGTTTTGTAATGGATGAAATAAGTTAATTGTTTTCTCTGGTTCACTAATTATTCATTCTTTTTCTCATAAAAAAAACTCGAAGCTCATGTCGAACAGGCGATTCATTTAACCAAGTGAACTGACCTCATCGACGGATCATAATCTTGATGGGTCGAAACTCTAAAGAGTGTTATTATAATACTTCTTAATAGTGATCAACAAGAAATGAGAAAAGTTTCAACACAATCAACTGATTGTCATTTAATTTAATTGATGATTTTCATTGACTTTCCTTGATTTATTGAATCGATGAATTGATTGCACTTTGTTAATCCCTTTAGATTTGGCAGTTTTCACGATTGGGACCAAGTTTATCAGCTGATTAACAAAACAAATTATTAACAAGCAATCAAAAAAAACAGATAACAAGATTTTCAGGTAAAATGTAAATTTGTCCAACAATTAAGTCTGTTAATTGTTCATCTAAACAATTACTCCCAATCAATTTATAAGATTCCTTCCAATGTTGATTTAGTCGCTTTCCTTATAGTTGATATCGATTCAAGATTAAAGTTTAGTTGATTATCATTGATCAAGGGAAGATTAGAAATTGATTGTTTCTTATGGTTAATGATTCCTTTTAGTTTAGTTGGTTTAATTTCATTAGTTAAAAGATTTGACGATGAAGATGATAAACCCTTCAGGTGATTAACCGATTTGTCTTGATTACTTTCTGGTTTTAATTTACCTGAGGGTCGAGAAGAAAATCAAATTAGTTTAATAGCAATGTTAAGATCTTGTTGTTAATTACTCACCGATTCGATTGAGATTAGTATGGGAAGCACTTTTACTTAGATTTCTTTTAATTGTATTCGATTCACTTTCAATTGTCTTTATTGGATTTTCATTGAGATCAAATTTCAATCCATTTCGACCTAATCTCGCTTTGGCCGTTTTGTTCAATCTTCGAATTGTCGATCTGAGTCCATTTTTGTACCTCGAACTAGTTGCATCTCTTTCATCATCTTCATCGTCCGATGTTGTACCTTTTAAAGTCATCGTTGAGAAACCAAGTGATCTGATCAGATCGAAAAGTAAACTAATATCGGTTTGAGAAGAGGATGAACAGTGATTACAATTCGAGGTTGACCTGTTCGAGGTAAACTCTTGAATCGTGTTTGTTGATTGACGATCAATGTAATTATCTGTCTGAGTGGAAACGGAACTTTTCTCAGTAGTGGTTAGTCCTCGATTGGAATAGTTCATCAATTGGTCATTATCTTTTCGCAATCTCCCTCGACCTTTAGATTGTTCCATTGCTGCGATAACTGCTAATCGACGCTTCTCAATTGTCTCACGTTTCTCCTCAATTAACCTTCGTTCTAATTCATATTCTTCTTTCAATCGAAGTTGAACAGCGACCATTCGCCTCTCAGCCGCTTCTTCTTCTGCTCGAACCTTTTCCTTCTCTTCTCGTTCTCGTCTAGCTTTTTCCTCTCTTTGAGCCGAAAGTTCGGCTCGATATTGCAACATTTTTCGTCTCTTTTCTTCCCAATCATCATTGGGACTGATAATCCCACCAAGAGAAGATGTGACACTTCGAGTGTATCGACGGAAATTAACTGTTTCCCCTTGAGTTGAGCCAAACGACACCAACGAATGACTTGGCGATGGAGCTGTTCGAGGTGGAATCAGTGACGATATAGACGATGCAGTTACTAATTGTCGACTCAATAATTCACTCGTTGAATCTTTACCCAACGGTGAGAGTAACGGTGAACATTCAATCGCCCCCAATGATTGTGATTTAATCAATGGACGATTCGAAATGGAATGAGAAAAGTAAGGATAAGAGTATTCCAATTGTGGTATCGATCTGTTGATATTTTCATGTTCAACCGGTTTACTATCATTTCCATTTTCAATTTTCAAGAATAATTTCTCATCATTTGACTGAACTTTCTCCATGGTTTTTGGAGTAATCTGATTATCATCACCTAAAGAAGAAGACAAATCAACAGCATCCATATTGTCATCTAATGTAACAAAAAGTTGATTCTTATTATCATTGTTACCATCGCAAGTTTGCTTGATAAAATAATCGTTTCCATTTGAATTATCAATTGATCTTCGTTCCCATGTTGGTGTTAAACTAGTTACTGATAAATTCTGTGATCTATTGGAACCTGAGATAATTTTAGAAAGAAAAAAAATAATAATTAGATTACTATTATTATTAGTATTCCTTAATTGGAAATCGTTATGTAATCAACTTGTCGTAGGTTTTGAACATAATCAACACAATCACCGAAGAGATAATCTTAAGATCATGGGAATGTTGATTAACTACAAACATGAAAGAGGATAAAGAAGATAATCAGAATGAGAGAGAAAATTTAATCTCTACTTGACAATTAATCTGTTACAATTAAAGTAAATCGACCCACGGGATTATGTTTCTTTCTCCATCTTTCTACAACTTGTTCAAAGAGTCTAATCAATGAATAAGATGTTTGATCAACTGATTAATTTGATTTGATTAATTAACAGAAAACAGGTTAATATTTACTTAGTATTTAATGTTGATCAGATTTTTTTGTTGTTCCATTTGATCAAATAAAAAGTTAATTAATCGTTTTCTCCCCCCAATGTTTACATGTATTAAAAGATATTGAAAGAAAAAGGCTAATCAATAACGTGAACAATTAAATCAATAAGACAAAAAGTTGATCAATATTTTTAATCTCATCTCTTAATTGTTGATTAACAAGGTTCACATGTTTATCTATGTAAATCTAATTGATCAATCTAATCAGTTCAATGGTTTAAATTACAATTAAACTATCACAGGAATGGAGAGACAAACCTTTTGAAAAGTAATCAATGACAATTGGGAAAAAAATATTGTCACAATTAAGTAGCAATTAGACTTACCTATTTGATTGACAAGCTCTAGTATGACTTTGACTTGATTCTTGTTTAAGGTTATATTGTCCATTCAATTATTTGGACTGACACAATAAGAAATTAAGTTAATTGGTGACAATTTATTTTCCATTCGCAACAATTAACTAATCCTTTTTGTTTGGATTTCAACTTACATTGAGTAACCAAAGAGACGAGAAAATAAAAACAAAACCAATTTGTCCTGAAAAGTGAGAAGACATTTTTTGATTGACATTTCATTTAATTGGTTTACCTTTTTTATTTTACCGTTACTTTGGTGTCCCAATTAAATTAATCATTTGTTTTCCAATTTGTAAATCAATTTGATTGAGAAAATTAAATTCATATGTCATCATTACGAAGCAAAGTTAAAACATTTTGATAGACAGCTAATTATTAGTTTTACTATTACTACTCTTGTGTTCCTGTTAATTTAGTTGGTGACAATTGCTATTCACAATTGTTCAGGTCAACAATTAACTCTTGTTAATCACTCATCACTTTTCTGCTATTAATATGGTCTGTTGGTAATATTTGACAAGATTAGTTTAACATTTAAATTGATTAACTTTTACTCTTTGTTAACTAACTGTTTTCTTGGCAAAGGATTTCAAGGTTTTTAATCAATAAACAATCAGGGTAATTATCAACAGTTGATTATTATAAGTGAATGAGTTAATTGTAAGGGTGTTGAAAGTTTGACAACAATCCAGGAATTAAAACTTGAAAGGATTGGCAAAGAATTGGAATCAAGGATAAAAATGATTTACATGTAATTAGGATTAACGTGCAAGAGCAAAACTTTAAATACAATGTCAACAATTAGTTTGTTTTTAATCATTAATTGTTGATAATTTATCAATGAAAGAAACAAAAATATAGTTACATGTAATAATTAAACAATTCGTTGATTGTTTTGTCTTTTTGGTTTAGTTAATTTGTTTATATATATACATTGGTATATATATTTTATGTTCATTACAATTAAGTGATTGAGCATCAAAGTTGATTCATAATGAGAATGATAAAAAATAAGTGATAATAACTATTATCTGTAAACATGAAATTAAAGATAACTAAATTTAATTTGATTATCTGGGAATGCTAGGAAATTCACTTCTTTGGCAGGAAAGAGGTTATTGAGTCTCTTTGGAAATAAACTAAGGCACCGATTCCCAATAGTCCAGAGGTGATCATGGCTACTTTTTGGTAAGACACTGATTTTTGGGTGGATTGAGTTGAAGTTGCATCGATTGATTTTTACCATTAGATTGATTCTTTTTTGTATTATTATCACAACCATTAGATATTAGGGCTTTCTTATCCATCTCTTGAATAAACGACTTGAGGGTGTTAAGTGATATTCCTCCGTCTTCAAGGGTCCTTTTGGCTTGGTCATAAAGCTTATGAACATTTGTCTTTTCAACTCCTCTTTTGATGAATTCTGGATCATTAGCAAGATGATTCCGTAAATATTGGAAGGTTTTATTCATGAAATGCAGATGATTTGAAATATTACACATGATAACATGAGCTTCAATGCAACTTTTGGGTAAGAAGAAGAAGAAGAAGAAGAAGAAGAATAATTAGTGAATCAGAGAAAACAATTAACCTTAATCATTAATTACAAACCTGATTTGAGATTTTCGCTTTAGATACGAGATTCGAGATGGTTGCCAGTTTCTCTTATGAACTTTTTTGATTCCTTCCCATAGTTTGAGTTTTTCTCCATAATTTCTTATGGGCAGTTCGTCGAAATCATTTTCATTGAAACAAATCAGATCAGAATATTGTATTTTCTGTTCTACAAAAAAATTATCCAAATGATAAAGTCCAAGTTCTTTTAGAAAATATTGCATATCAGTCAAATAACTATAATCACATGAAGAGAAAGAGAGAAAAGAAATTTTGTCAACAATTAATACAAATTTCGTTAGATAATAAGTGTGTTACTTACTAAGTTTCATAAGATTTTTCTGTAGTTTTCTTTCCTTCCGATTTCATGAGAATTCCCTCCTCTTCGATTGAAATGGGCTCCTTAGCTTTCAATCGTTCCATTAAAGTACCAAGCTATAAATTATTGAGAGAATATCATCATTCCTATTAATCTCTGAATAAAACAGCACGAAAAGCTAAGTGTAGTGGACTCACCTCATGGAATCCTGATTCGAATGCAAGATCAGCAGGAGATTCACCCTTGTTATTGTAAACGTTAAGTTTTGCTCCATAATCAATCATATTCCGTACAACTGGACCAAAACCTCTTCGAGCAGCAAAATGTAAACACTAATTAATTAAAATGAAAAAGAAACATCAATCATTAGTATAATTATATTGCCTTAATTTACAATCAAAGCTTACAGTCCAATGTTTATTATCTTTCAATGATAAATTAGCTCCACTTTCAACCAAATATAATGCGACCTCCGATTTACCCGTTTCACAGGCATACATTAAAGCGGTTTTACTTGATAAATCTTTGGAATCAACCATGGCCCCTGATTTGATTAAAAGTTCAACAATTGACAGAACTTTATCTTCATCAGCATAAAAACTCTGGCAAGCCGCCATTAGAGGAGTAAATCCATCTGGATAAACAGGAGAAAAGAGAGAAATTAAAATGTTAACATTTAGACACTCGAACATTGAAATTATTAATATCGCACATAGATAACAAGGAAAATTGAGATAAATTGACTATTTACCAAAGTGAAAATTGGGATCAGAGTTTAGATCAAGACAATATTGAACAATATGAGTAAACCCAAAATCACAGGCAAACATTAAGATGGTCCAACCATTTTTCAAGACTGTATCTATGAAGAAACCATGATCAATGGACATTTGTTGCTTAATATAGTCCAAATCTCCGTTAATTGTTGCCAATCTAACATCTTCCATGAGTAACATTCCAGGGGATGGACTTCGAGTCTCCCGGTTCTGAGATGGATCAGGTGATAAACTATTAGTTGAACTTGTCGGTGGATCATCGTTGAACCAAGAGATTTGAAAATCTTTATCATTTTTCTCATTTTCTTTAACTTGTTTCTCTTTTTGGTCATTACCATTCTCTTCACTTTTATCACCATTTTCCGGATCATACCGGTTAACAGAATATTCTCTTTTAGACCGATTATTCTCTTCTTCTAATTCACCTTCAGTTGATGGAGATTTACTTTGATTACCATCTAAATTGTCACTTGTAGAGGGAGAATTTTGAACAACCTTTGATTCTTCTGTAACTGGGCTCACTTTTATCACCGGTGGAAGTGTTGGATAGACAATATCATTCAAACCATCGTCTGAATCACCATCCGATTCGAAATAATCTTTTCTTTTGTAAGATTCAAATCCAGCAGGAAGATAATGACCAGACATGATTAAGTAGAAAACATAAAACTCAACAATAGGAAACACACACACACAGAAATCAGAGATAAAAAAAAGAAAAACTAACAAAGAGAGAGAGAGAGAGAAAAAAAAAGCTAATCAATTAAGAGTGAAAATAACAAAGTAACAACAAGAGAAAAGCTAAAACCTAAAAGCGAAAAACAAAACAAATGAATTAAGTCAAGTTCGAAAAAAATCGATTTTAATCGATCATTTATTCGATTTAGTGGTAAGAATTTCCATTAATAGATGGCGCTGATACTCTAATGGAGTTAAAGTTAATCACAACAATTAAGCTAAATAAAGATTCTAATCAAGTTAATCTTCATTTGGATTATTCGATTAACTATTACTAAAACAAATAATGGAAGAAATAATTTAGAGCCCATTTTGTGGGCTAAATTTGGTTATTTATCTTAAAAATCTAATACAATCAAACCGAATGAGAGATGATAAATTGTTTACATTAAATCTTAATTTGGTGAAAAACCTTTGGTCATTTAATTAGATTTCGTGATGATGATAAAACACAATAGATGAGTAAATATCCAAGGGCAATAATGTTAATTGCTTCTAATCAAAAGTCAATAAGATCAACTTTGTTTTTGTCTTGATAAACATGATCATCTCTTTTAGCGTCTAATTATAATTGTTTGGATTGAATTGATTGAAATTAAGAAAATTTCTCATAAAATAATTAAACAATACACAAGAATAATACAATTTAAGATTAAATTGTATTGTTACAAAAACAAATTTCTATCCATTCTCATTAATAATAAGAGAAATATTTCCATAGGTTTTTAATCAGATTCACGATTCTGATTTAGACATGATTTATGATTTAAATTGTTCCCATTGATATAAACAAACTGGTTGAACAAATTACTGTTTAACCAAAAAGTTTCATCATCTATTGTTATTCAACCCGTTATTTTGAATATATAAATGTCATTATCATGTAATATAATATACACATGATGATGATGATGATGATGATACACAACAATCAGCTTAATGAAAAGTAAACCACTGTAACAGTGTGACAATTTAATATCACTATTTGAATATTACAGAATTATATTATCAACAATAGAGAGAGAGAGAGAGAGAGAGAGAGAGAGAGAGAGAGAGAGAGAGAAATGTAAAAAAGTAACTGTTTATCATGATAAACAATCTTGAACATTTTGAGTGATAAGTTAACCATTTTCATCATTTAACTTGATTCAGTTTAATTATAATTATCTTTTCAAACGGAAATTTGATTGTTTTCTCGTAGTCAGGAAACTTTCAAAACAATATAAGCCCATTAACTTTTCATGTATTCATTATTATTATCAGAGTAAAAAACCATTAAACTAATCATCCTCATCACCATCGTCATGATAATGATGATGATGATGATTATTATTATTATCGTAATGATTTTAATACTTTCCCAGTGTATCCAAAATTGTGGACATTTTTTTTTGTTGTCACTTTGTGTGAGTAAAAGTATTACGATAAGTTGATGATAAGCTGAATGTTAATTAACTTGATCATTTTTGAATGAACACAAGTGAGATCAAAATGTCAAGTCAAAGAGACTCTTTTGTTTTCAAGAGCACAATTGACATTAAATACAACAGAAAAACTCAACTTAATTAACTTAAGCAACAATCAATTTTATTTTTCTTCGTGTTACTGATCAATATCGGACTTAATTGTAATATGTATTATCAAATTATCGTAATTTTCAATGTTCAAATTATGGATATGATAACAGTTTCAATTTACTAATAAGAACCTGAATTGGTAACAATTATTAAACATCGAAGTGTAAAAACAAGGTTAAATTATAAAGCGGAAGATGTTATTACGAGATTAAAGTGGTTTGATTTGTTAATTGTTGTCAAAATTATATGAAAAAGAGAAAGTGACAATTTATTGATCAATATCCGTTCTTGATCAATTGTAATAAGATGAACATCTCTTCAGAAAGATGACAAAAAATTGGACAAGATGGACAATTGAATGAATCAAAGTGACCATTCTCATCATTTTCTTATGAAATAATGATGTTCATCACAGAGACAGAGATGAGAAGATGACCAGTGAGAGAGAGAGAGAGAGAGAGAGAGCGAAATGACCTACAAACATCGTAAAAGACTAAAAGGACAGTGGCGATGGAAAAGAATCGGAATGTTGACCTGTGTCGATATCGAATGTTGTTATTCGGGTTTCTTTATATTCGAGGTGTGAAAGTGTGAAAAGGGTTTTTGTTGTGTCCACTTTTCAATAGGAACAATGTTATTGTTATAATTGTTGACCCTTCCCTAGAAACCCAGTGCTAATTTTCAATGGTCATTGTGTTGACCAACAAGAGAAGAAGAAGAAGAAATTAAATATAAAGTAAATTGTTGAAAGCGATCGGTTACAAGTACTTAGGATAAGAAAACCAAAGAAAAAGGTAATTGAATGATTAATCAATTGAATTTGAATTAACGACAAATTGGTGTTGATTATTGTGTTTACTCTGGTCAATTGTTTGATCTCAAACCTTTTTTGTAAATTTCGTTACAATTGAATACCTTTAATAACCACCAACAGTTTAAGACTTTCAAACCTTTTTTTTTATACTTTTTCCTTCAAAATATTAACAAGAGTGTTGAGAATACATTTCCAAATAATACTAAATGATTATCACCAGAAAAAAGCGTTAATCCAAACAGATAATCCGATAATAAAGAAAAAAAAATTTTCCATCTCATCTTCCAGTTACCTCCTTCTCATATAATACAATCACCATTACTGTCAGAACAATAAAAATAAAAGTAACTGAATAGAAACTTAAATTGCTGCTGTTATCCAGTTGATTGTGTATATTAAGTTTAGCAAAGGTAATCAATGAGGATCAACCATTGGGATTTTACAATTACAGTTAACTGGGAATCAATAAAGACAAAAATTGATCACAAATCACTACAATCATTTAATTCAATTGGAAATCAATCAATTGGAAATGAAAAGGAGGAGGAAGATACAAAAAAATAAACCTCCCACTTATTTAAATAATTGTTACACTTTCTTAATCCAATGATTAGTAAACTATTATCACATTATTGTGATTAGATTACAATCAGTTAATCCAACACATTTAATCACCACTAACATTATTCAATGGGAATTAATCTTAAATCCGATGATGTTTCACATTGATCATCATCATCACCATTATCCATTAATTACAATTAAAGAATAGAGAATTATAATAAAAGTTAATCAACAATCCAATTAGAAAAAGAAAGTGATATAAAATGATTGATCTATTAGGTGAAGATAGGAAAAAAGTTCTAACGATTATCGAACTCCTTTCTGTACATTATTTATTATTCTAAATCAATTATGTTACCAACAAGGTTTTCGTACAGTCGATCAATGTAAACACAGATAAGTCAAAATGTTTGATATGATATCCACTTGATAATGAGAATACCCACTTATTGGATAATAAATATATTCAAAATGAAAGAGGAAATAGAGACTCGAATAGAGAGAGAGAGAAAAGTTCGAAGTGTCTTAATCCGAGCAACATTTTAATTCAAATGAAAGATTTCAAGTTGTATTTACCATTGTGTATGTTACCCTCTCCAGTAAATAGATCCATGTATTCAAAATGTTTGTAATCATCATAATAATAATACTAATCATCATTATCATCAATATATTATGATATTAGCACCAATGTCGTTGGTATTAAGTACATTAGTAAACAAGATTGGTACCGAAAAGAAAAAAAGAAAATCTCTCTGTAGAATTTTTTTCTCCTTCTCCTTTTCCCTATTAATGCTCTCTCTCTCTCTCTCTCTCTCTCTCTCTCTCTCTCTCTCTCTCTTTGCTCTTTTCACGATTTTGAGGATATAATATTTATTCAAACATAGAAGTAAAAATTTAGAATCCAAAGTTATCCTCCTAACAAGAGGCTATTGACAATTTACCTCTCAAATCCTTGATCCTCATCATCTGTACTAATCCTCCTCATCCTAATCATTATTATCATGTTGTTTCAATAACAATGGACACTCACCCTGATTATTCATTCATTCATATTCATATAAATGTACACAGATACACGTATGGACAAATATGGATAAATATTCATCGATTCATTTCCAATTTTTACCTTACATATCGAAGTAAAAAAAAGGTAACAAGGTAACTATTGGCACTATCGACGTTAATCCATTGCTAAGATATTAGTGGATTTTATTGTTAATCATTATCATTGTTTGACATTTGAACCATTTAATGTATCATTTACAATAAGAGAGAGAGAGAGAGAGAGAGAGAGAGAGAAGGAGCAAAAAGATAAATAAAATTGGCAAAGAGAAAAACGTAAACCAGAAATACCTTGGATTTTGCTGGGATAACAATTGAATTTTGAATGAATGGATTGTAATGAAAAAGGGATTAGCTGGCAATTGCTATTAGTTATTGAATATAAATACAAAATACACACACACCGAGGGTATGATGCTGATGGGAGGAGGTGGGAGGAGGTTTAAATGAGAGAGAGAGAGGGAGGAAGCTCAGGGAAAAAGAGGAGGTATAACAATAAATGAATATAAATATATACATATTATAAATAATAAGGAAAAGGCTGATCGTATATAAGTGTATGTATAAGTCAAGTCCACTTTTGTATATCACGATAATTTATGTCACCCAAAGATGTTTTCGAACTTTCTCTCTGCTCTCTCTCTCTCTCTCTCTCTCTCTTTCTTTCCCTTTTCCTCTGTTGATATGGACAAAAACACACATATATTAATACCTATTGAAGGCACGTTAGAACTTAACTCCAACTGTAGAATAGAAAAAAGTTTCTTTGTACTTCGATAGATATTCTATTCTTTTTTCTCTTTTTTTCTCTTCTCTTCTGCAAACATGTAAATTCACCAGTAAAAAGGGGTAAATATAAATATAAATGGTTTTCTGATTGACGATCAATGAGCCTAAAGACTTGGAGAAGGTGGTAAAGGTAGAGCGAAGAAAAGAAATAAATAATTGAAAGAAGGTGTTGAAGTGTAAGAACTCAAATAGAAAATGATACTTTAGTCTTTCTTTTCTTCTAGTTTTCCATCATCATCATCATCATCATCT